TGCGTCTCTGCTTTTTGGGGATGATGTGGTTCTGCAGGCTTCATCGGGCCATTTTCAACCTTGGTTCAGTTTGCCAGGATGAGAGTTAGCACCTTTAAGCCTGAGACCATGGCTCTTTGTCGGGAATTCTCTATTGGTTGGGGTGAGTTGCTGCCCTCAGTTTAAGTATGTTGGGACTTTGTTGACAAGTGATGGGAAAATGAAGTGTCAGATGGACCGACGGATTGATGCAGCGTCAACAGTAAGGCTGCTGGTGTTCCAACAGACCAGTGAAGCTACGAGCTGAGCTGTAAAGCAAAGCTCTTGTTTCACCAGTTGGTGTGCATTCTAACTCTCACCTACGGTCATGAGCTCTGGGTAGTGGCCGAAAGAATGAGACCTCTGCTGGCTGGACTCAGCCTTAGAGATATGGTGATGAGTTCAGACATCCAGAGGGAGCTTTGATCTGCTATCTGAAGAAAATGGATGGATGGACAGTACATAAGAGAGAATACAATGAAGTTGTGTAATTACAAAACATGAAATCCTCTGATGTTTCTGTGATCTGACCTCTTTTCTACTGTTGGTTGTTGCAGTCTCTAACTGTTTACTGAACTCTATTATGCAGCAGGTAAAACCTGACTTTTGGCTCTTTCATAATGAAAAAGCTGTGAAATACAAAATAGGACAGTCTTAACACTGAGACTCCAACAGAGATGAATCTCAGGTAATTCAGAAATGATGACCTGCAGCGGGAGTAAACAATGCTGCCCTCCGGGGAAAAAAAAAAACTGGAAGTAAAATTAAGTTGAAATAGTTAGAAAAAAAAAAAAGGAAAGACAAAAAGAGCTTTTGATGTCTTGAAGAAATGTTTACTTTTATTTTGTGATACTTGAGCTTTAATTAGCTGTTAAAATTTCTTCACATTTTTCATTTTCACACTTGGAGGTTTTAATCATGTTAAACTTAAAGCTTGTTTTGAAAATAACAATCATAAGAATACCACACAGAACTCAAACTAGACAACCTTGGATGTCCTCAGCTTTGTAGATTCCACAGAGCTCTGACCTGTGTGCACATGATCAAAGCTGATGTTAATGTTAGACACCTGAGAAACACAATGTACTAACTTCAAGGTTTTTCCTGTTGTTAGGATGACATCGCCATCAATATTAAAAGTAACCCTCAGGTCTTCTGTTCCTCAGGTGTTGCGAGTGCATGAACTGTTTGTTACTCGTAGAGTTAGCAGAAGCAGCTGTAGAGGTGAACAAACCTGGTGGCAGCTGCTCATTTTGAATGGTCCAGCTGGAAGCATTAGGCAGCGAGGGGGCAGGCTTATACAAAGCTGGACGACTATTGGTTAGTCAGGTGTTATAACAAACACATAGCACAATGTGGATTTCCACCTGATGGGACCATTACAATAATTTCATTATGTTTGACTTTGATGTTTTTGACAAACAAAACAAAACATCTGGTGACGTCAGCATGACCTTCAAGAAGTAGTGATGAGCTTTTTACACAGTTTTCTGATGTGTTCACGAGTAAAGAATCAACAACTCTCACCTGTATGTATTCGGTGAACAGTGTATGTTGAGAGGTGGACATGCTGCCCATGTGGTCCGTCTGCTGGTCCTGCTGCTTGGGCTGAAAGAGGAAGAGGAGGATGAAGATGTAGTGTTTGCGGCAGCGGCATTCAAACTACACTGTTGCCCATAAAGTTGTAATCATTGTTGTTTTCAGACACGTTCCTCTTTTTGTTTCTATTTATACACATCGGTAAGAAGTATTTGAGCTCAGTTCTGAAACACTGAGTCATGTTGTGTGTTTCACAAGCAGTTTTGGACAAAACTAATGAAATCTGAATTTCTAATGGTGCACAATCTTGTTTTTTAGTCATACATGTAAATTCTGTGGTTATAGAGTTATACATTTTTGTGTTTTCTGGCTCATTTGGGAGTTTTTTTGTTTTTTTTTTTAGTAAACACATGTTTCCTTCAGGCAAGGTGGCTCGGTGGTTAGCACCATTGCCTCTCAGCAAGGTTCGCTTCCCGGTGAGGACACCGGGATCTTTCTGCGTGGAGTCTCCATGTTCTCCTCGTGCAGCGTGGGTTCTCTCCAGGTTCTCCAGCTTCCTCCCACAGTCCAAAAACATGCTGAGGTTAATTGGTGATTCTAAATTGTCTGTAGGTGTGAATGTGAGTGTGCTTGGTTGTCTGTCTCTAAGTGTAGCCCTGTGATAGACTGATGACCTGTCCAGGGTGTCCCCTGCCTTCATCCTGAGTCAGCTGGGATAGACTCCAGCCCCCCGCGACCCCAGTGAGGATTAAGCGGTGTATAGACGATGGATGGATGGATGGATGGATGGATGGATGGACGTGTCCTTCAGGGGCTGCTCAGCCTACTCAGCCATAAGCTGCACTTCTGCACATCAGCCTCTAGATGGACCTTTAGTTACTCTGAAGTAAGCTTCATACACAGTATGGTCCTGCTGAGACACCTGCACATACTATAATGTTTTGCAATCATACATACAATTAGTTGAGTTTATACGACTTATTCTGAGGCTATCTATCTTTCTATCTTTCTATTCAATCGAACTTCCAGCTGAATGAAAGTTAATTCTCCTCCAATGAACTGCAAACTACAAAAATTGGTTTTTTTTGTTTGTTTTTTTTACAAGTACATTACTGGTGAAGAAAACTTTCATTTTATTGTTTCCCCGCAGAAACCGTGACTATTTGTCCTGCTTCAAATTTTTCCTTTTAACTTCAATTGTTTATTCTTCTCATATAATTAAACAACCTCTTTTCCTCTCTATTTCCATTTAAATTTCACATCATGACAGCAACAGTTAAGCCCACAATCATTCACAAAAACGATTGATTTAAACTGAGTTATGTTAGAAACATTAATAATACATTTTTGCTTTTTCTTTCTTTCTTTTTTAAATGGCATGTCCAAAGCTATTCACATCCCTTGGAATCTCTCAAACGCTCAAAGCATCATTGAAAAGTAAAAGTTCCTCCCTTTGAAAACTCTTAAAGGGTAGGGTAGGGAGTCAGAAGTGACTCCTGCACTGGTAAGAATGTTGGTATGAAAGGCCAAGAAGAATTCAAGGATCAACACCAAACCACCCTGATGAATGTGAGCAACTCAAACAGACACTGAACAAGACCCGCATGGACAAGACAGGAACACGAAAGCTCACCTGGACAAAGATGAAGGCTTCTGGTCATCAGTTCTTTGGTCGGATGAGGCAATAAGGATGAGTTGTCCCGAAAACACCATTCCTGCAGTCAAGCAAGGTGGTGGGAATAAAAGGCTTTGGGGGAGTTCTTTAGCCAAGAGACGAGGCGTCCTTGTCAAAGTAAACAGCATCATGAGAAAAGAGGACAACATTCATATTTGGAGGAAAACATCAGTCAGTCTGCAGAAAAACCTGGCCTTGAGCAGCACTGGACCTCCTAACAAGACAATGAGGTGAAACATGCCACCAAAGTGGTCAAGAAATGATTAACAGAAAACTACATAAGCATGTTGAAGCAGCCCAGTCAGAGGTCAGACCTGAATCCCATCGAAAATCTATGGAGGAACTGAAGACCATGAGTGATGGAAGGAAGCCTTCAACTTCAAGGACCTGGAGATCATCAAAGAGGAGTGGAACAAAATCAGAAAATTAGTATTGATTGCTGCTAAAATCTATCATCAGCATCTCTGAGAAAATGTGTTACGGCCTTTTCTCACTTGTTTTTTGTTATTTCAAGCCTGCTGGTCAAATACAAATCATCATGGCTATGAATAATTTGGGTTTCTCTAAATATTAAACATCATCAGATCAGGGTATTGGTTTTGCTGTTTCTGTACAGCAGATGGAAGCACACATCTGTCTTTTCCTGGAAATAATATGTTGTCTTCACCACTGGCTAATACAATGAAATCATTGAGCAGGTTGTAGTTCTACATCTACAAATACATAAAATCAACTCTGGAGGCAGAAGTAAAGCCGGTGGGTGCATCAAACCTCACTGGACAGAGGTGAGGATCTTCCCATTTTTCTGGTGCATTCACATCAAGTGTGTGATTATATGGTTGTTTATTTGAACCCTGCCCTGTTTGCTCCTTAAGCTCAGTTCAGTTAGTCAGGCGGGAGCATCTGAAGTAAAACTGAAACTGTGATTCTCAGCTCTCCCCCAAGAGAGCAGCTCGTTATAGAGCTGAACAAACTACAGGAAGCCAGCTCGAAACATCAGCTTTCGTGTTGTTTCTAAGTGTTCCTTGCATATGTCAACAGACTGCTGGTTTATCGATTGTAACCATCCATCTATCCATCAATAATAGCTGTGCTGAACCCCCTGTCTGTCTGTCTGTCTGTCTGTCTGTCTGTTATGTTTACTGACCTTGTTTAACTTTTGGCTTATACCTCTCTTCCTCTGTGTGTCTTATCTGTCATTGACACCTATCCTTTTCACAGTGACTGAAAGCCTGTTTGGTTTTTTATCCCAGGGTGGTTTAACTGATATGGCTTTACTAAGGTTGATGCTTGCTAGTTGTACTTGAGGGTCTGGAGCCGAGAGGCAGTCGTCCACTTTGCTCAGGTCAACCTGTAGGCGGAAACTGTTCAAAACCCGATTCAGTTCAGGCTATGATCTCTCTACAAACAAGGAGAATTTCTACTACAAAAGAGTTCCTTTTGATTGGTTTGACAAATAGCTTGTCATCAATCAAGCTGCCGTTTAAGTACGATATCGCAGCTTCCTCACACGTCTGCTTCCACATCTGCCTGTCTGCCATCTGCTCTGCAGCTACTGCAATAATAGCTTGCAGCTGCAAAGGAAGGAGGGGACGGGGAGGGGAAGGGGTTTGTGTGTGGAAGGAAAAACCCAGAGGGGCGAGGGGTAAAAGGAGGGCAGGCAGGCGAGCCAAAAGGGAGGGAGGGAGGGAGAAAGAAGGAAGGAGGGGGCGGTGAAAGCAGAGCTGTGATGCAGACAGCGAATCACATGAGCAGGGATCTGTTTACAAACTGAGAGCCGTAGACGAGAAGTGGAGAAGAGAGACGAGGAAGGAGAGTGAATGTGAGAAGAAAATACAGGAGAAGAGAGCGGAGGCTGGATCTGAATTAACATTAGCTGCATTGTGTTCCTGTGTTGCATACCTCCCCGTGTTCAGAGCAGGAAGCCAGAGGAAGAGATGAGGAGCTGCTTTCTACAGGAACACTGAAAGGCTGCCTGCCTGCCTGCCTGCCTGCCTGCCTCTCGCTGCCTGCCTGCCTGCCTGGTCGTGCTGCTGGGGAACCCATCCATGTCCTTCCCTTTGTCTCTCCATAATTGGCCACGGCAGGTTTTCACAGCCAGAGAGGAGGAAGGCGACGTGGAGATCTAAAAGGACAGGACAGAGGAGAGAGAAGAAAGGAAGGGTGAAGAGAAAAGAAGAGGAGGAAGGGAGGAGGGAGAGCCTTGTGACAATGTTTTGAAGGGGAGACAAAGCAAAAAGGCAGTGACCGCACTCGGCCAGAGGTTCAGAGTGCTGGATACGATTTGGAGTGTATTTCCTCATCTTGTCAGTGACATTGGTGTCTTCTTACCCACACGACTCCACGCTGCTTTCTTTGTCATGCACTGGGAGGACACAAAGGAAAAGTTAGATCTCTACCTCTGATGCATCTGCAGTTGTTTGGAAGTCTTAGTTGAGGTGGATGTTTGTTTCGCATCGGTGGGGGTCAATCATCACTGCGGACTGACGTATCGAGCTCAGGTGAGCAGCTGCTTATTTGGGTAATATCTTCTTGAGGAGCTGGGAGTCTCCAATCAAGTGTCCTGACTCCAGACCACAAGGATTTACCTCACTGCACATCTGCACTGTCAACCATCAGAGTCAACCTGAACCTTAAAGGCAGCGGACACAGAGGCCACGATTCCTCATTTCAAGTCCCAAGAAAGAAATCACAGTTTACGTTATTGGAGAGGTCACGACCCCAAAGATTTCCTGGCACTGCCATCCTCTGCACAATTGATGCATCCTATCCAATGGTGTAACGGTAAGTTTCCTAGAGCCAGCTGCACCAGCTGCTCCTGTGCGCAAACACAATCTTTCAGATGTGAATCACAAAGCATAGTTCTTACATAGAGATTAGGCTCGTCGTTACAAAACTTAGCATCCAGTAACAGCCAGATGTAAGCGTTAGTGAACCAATGGAAACCTGCTGATAAACCTAACGTTTGCTTGATGAACTGATTCGACTTCAAAGTAAAAAGGAAACTTCACTGCAATTCTATTGAATAAATACACAAACTAGTTGTACTTTTACATCTCACAAAAATAACCCAGTGTCCTTCATTTTCCAAAACCTTAAGCTGCATAATGTTTGATGAGATTTCGCTAAATGGCTAAGGTTGGTTTAGGTAGCTTAACTGGATACTTCCCAGTTATTTTTACCTTCACAAATTACTACTGTTTCTGGAACACATCTCTACTTGTATAATTTAACAATATATGTTGTCTAAAATGTGTACGTTTAGTTGTGTTACAATGATTTCCTACTTTTTACATCATTGCAAACATGTTCAGACGTGTTCTAGCGACTGGTTTATAAGGACTATAGTATTTACCAGCTAAGACACTTTTAATTTTTACATTTCGTAAATCACTAGTTTGAAACTAGCTAGTAGTTACTGAGAGCTTAGGAAGGACTTTCCCCACAAACTTACCACTGCATTGATGAGTAGTTGGCCCAGCCCTATCCTTATGTGAAATTTTAATAGACGTTATGACAAGACCAATAAGAGCCACAACCACAATGTGTTTTTATGTGTTCTACCACTGACATGACAAAAATATGACTGCGAGCATTTTCCAATATATATTCCATTCCAATAACTGAGTCATCTGATGGAAGCCTTTATGCAAGCAGCTTCGATCATTTCGCCAGCCAACACACATGAAGCCAAATCCACCTCTCCTGCTAAACACTGTTCAGGTACAGTCCTGTCCACGCTGAATGCATTCGCACAGTGTCCTACCTTTTAGTGCTCCACTATCAATGATTTACTAACATCGTGCTAAGATTACAGCTGCCTCCTCCTTCGCCCAAATGTCCTGCCAAGCCCTCCTCTAAACCCCTGAGACTGTCCCTTCCTTCGCTGACCCTTGTCCATTAGAGAATGACTTCTGAACCCACAATCCCCACCACTGCAGTATGAGTTGTGGCACTTTACCTCAAGAAAGAGTTAATAACTGTGGTTTAAGGCTGACGTGTGTTGTGTGGAAATTAAAAGTGCCGTGTTCAAGCCCCGCAGGCTGAAAACACTTCTTTTTCCCCAAGCCCAAGCTCCAGAGAGTTAGGCCAAAAAGCAAGTGGAACACATTCCTGTGTGACGCAAGGATGGTTGTAAAAGTTCACACAAAAGTGCTTTGCAGTGTAGAGAGGTGCTTTTTCTTTGGGACCCATGAATTTTATAAATATGTGTAAAGATTCTCACCTGGTTAAGTCAGTCAGCGTGATAAGCATGGAGCCAATAGAGACAAAAATCCCTCACAAACCTGCACTTATATCTCAACTTTCACCCAAGTTCAGAAACTCTGTGCAGCTCAAGAATCCCGACAGTGTAAGCAGTATTGCATTGCAGTTTGAAACAAGAGGCTTCACAGATGCAGTGTGGAGCGAGTGTGCCAGGCCTTACAAGTTACACGGATACGTACACACGAGTACGCCTTCTAAAATCTAACCCCACATCCTCACCATGGGGGGTGGAAACAGACTATCTGGGCGACTGCCAGACAGGTTGATGTATTATGGGGTTCTGCATGTTTGTCCTGAAGACCTGGGTGGATCGTAACACACTGCCAAGCTAAGTGGGCAAATGTATTGCTATACACACAAGTACATACAAACTCTACTCCTACTCGAGACATTATTTGCATGCAACCCCCTTGCATCTAAACCATGACTGTCAAGGTTACATTTTATCAATAATAATCCTGAAGTGATTGGTGCTTTTGGTCAACCTGGAGCAACGAAACAAGCTGTAAACACAAGAGAAAGATTATGATCTTTTATCATTTCTATGGCGATGTTAGCTAATACTTACTTATATATATATATATAGTACACCCCGCAAACACATAAAGCATTAGCATTAGCATGTGATGACTGCTCCAGCTCTTTCAGTCTCTGCCAGGTCCTGAGAAAAATGCCTGGTTCTTTAATCCATCAGTGTGCCACATGTTTCCCAGTTAGTCAACAGCGGTTAGGTGGAGGGCAAAAGCTAGTTTATTAGAACTTGTAGCTGAAAATAGTTTCAAACAAAGTTGATGAGAGCAGTGAGACTCAACCAATCAACACGGCCATAAATTCAAAACAATGACCTTAAAGGTGCTCAAAAACAGTTGAGAGTTGGTGGATAATAAAGTGTGCTTGTCACTTGTTTGACAACTGACACATTGCCATTTGATCCATTGTGATAAAGACATTTTGAGTATTGCAGCTTTAACTTCTGCTTTAACCCAAACTTAACCCTAATTCTGGCCTTATAAGTATTTAAGTCAGTCTCCACAACACAGTGAGCCATCAGGATACTTTGAGACAGAAGACAGAAGAAACTGTTAAATAATTACAACATTCAGAAAGAAATAAAAACACAGACACTCGCCCACATCGCTATGGAATTTGCAAACTATTTATGCTAACATCCTCAGTCTGCGTAATACAGAATGTGTGCACAAGAGCCATACATTCTTTCTCGGTGATTTGTGCTGGGATTCTAAATGCCACATAATGTAGGCTACAGTCCTTCCAATTCAATTATCAGAGTGTGGCTTTGTTAATTGTGCTCTGCAAAAAATGTAATTTATCAACATACATTTGGAAGCATGAATGTGTATTTGCATTATTGCCAACAGTGTGAGTGCTTTGTTGTTTGTGCAAAGACAACGTTGGCTCAGAAAACAGCTGGATCAGACTCCCTTACTGGCCCAAACCAAGCTTTTGTGAAAATAATATATGCTGATATGGCTATTATTGTGCAGTTGGACAATTATTTGTATTTTAAGTTGAAATTATTAAGACGTCTTCATCTGCTGGCAGTTGGAATTGAGTTCTGATCCACTTCCACACAACAATGCTTTATTCATTTTACTTGTATAAATACATATTCAATGGACGTATCAGAATGCCGAATTGTAAATTCAGTTTCAGAGGCTTTTCACTCTGGTAAAAACAAAAATCAGAGGAAATAATGCATTACTTTATTATAAAGGTCATCTGTGTTTGCAGGGACACTGTGGTGGGACAAGAGTAAAAGTAATACACAAGTGCTTTTGTCTTCACAGCAGCCAAACCATGTTGATTCAGCTGTATGAACACAGGCTCTATTTCATCATCTTTTTCATGTGTCTCATCCTCTCAGGGTGTCTGTGTGACCTTGGATTGCAGAACTCTGATCCTTACTGCAAGATGACATCTGAAGATCTCTTCCACCTGCCGCTCAACGTCTACATCATCATCCTGGGCATCGGCCTCTTCGTCCTCATGCTCAGCCTCATCTTCTGCTGCTACCTGTTCAGGTACAAGACAGCAGACAAGACGAACTTGCTCCCGTGTCAGACTGCTGCGCTGGATCAGTATCAGCGTGTCCTTAGGAATCTTTCAGTTAATCTATGACAGGACTCGTCATTCTAGTTTGACTCCACAGTCTGTCAGACATGCAGTGAAATTGGCCTCAGAATGCCCTAAAGTGAAATTCCTCTTCTGAAACCTCTTCAAGTGTTACATAATATTATCTTGTAAACTTAATTAGTGACATTTCCTAAAACCCTGTAAAGGATTACACTATCAATAGGCTGTGTTTAACTTTAACTGCATGAGAGAAAGAGTTTCAAAAAGCCACAAGTAAACCACCAGTTGATTAACCAATACGCAGATGACAAAATAGTGCAAATGCAAGTTTATACCTGGTGTTTTGGAGTCAAGTATATATTTTGTACCTATAGTGCATTACACTACAAAAGAAAGCACCAGCATTCTAAGTCAGCTCACCCCTTGGTATCACTTAGCATCATTTGGCATTCATATGGGACAGTCCAAATCAGCCACATGAAACCACAAGACTTTCGGAAACCTGCTGAGTTATATTATGACCTGGTTTCACATGTACACGTCACACTGGCTGGCTACATTGTTAGCAGATACTACCTTCCCTCTTTAAACTCTGTACAAAGCGGGTTTTTGTTCATGAGCTGCACTCACTTTATTCAGGTCGTCTGTCGCTACAGAGGCCCCTCATTGTGTTACATAAAAACACTGTACTCAGTGCGTTGTCTGTTGTTTGACAAATCACAAAGCGAATGCTGCTTAAGGCAATTGCAGACAGGCCTCTCATTAGGTCAGTGTAGTGCTGTCAACTTCCAGGAGTTCTGGAAAAACCAGTTTAACCCTTGCAGAGCTGGTTACGTTATGTTAATTTCTCTATCTGTCAACCAAATATGTGAAAAACCATAATGGAGTACAGTGTGTGGAGCTGGGAGTACAGTAGGGCTGAAAAATGTGAGGAAAATACCTAATTGTGGTTTCTCCAAAGAAAATTATATTGCGATTTACGATGTCAAGATTTATAGTCAAGCTTCAGTTCAGTAATCGCTGTGTAACAGATTTCAAACATGTGATGCAGCATTACCACATGAGATACCATCAAATATGAACTGCTTTATATTCTGCTGCAAAGATGACAACTGAAAGATATGAACTGCCTCCAACAGTCGGTCTAAATGGAATAAAGAATAATAATAAAACATAAGTAATAAACTGTTGGTCAGACATATCCTGAACTACAGCTTTTGCAGTTTGCTTATTGCATTTTGCAAACCTGTGATTTCAATTTGAAATCGATTCATTGCATAACTGGGGTGTACCGCAAGGCCTTGACTGAGGAGCATGAGAAAAGGTTGTGTTGGTGACCTGATTCTGGAGTTTGATTTTGAGCATTTCTAAGACATAATAATGACACTAAAGGTCAGAAAACATATCCAAGGCAGGGGAGCAGTTCAGCTTCTTTGGAGACACTTCAGATACTTTGCTTTTCAAACAGAATTTCACTCTTTTGCAAAGGCATGCTCCCGACAGTGCTCCAGGTAACCTCAATGTGAGCGCACATGCACATGCTGTTACTTGAATTTGGCATTGTGTGAATTCCAGGACTTGCTTAAAGTATGTAGTATCCCGGCTTATTCATACAGCATGACGAGACACGTCCTGATGAAGGAGATATGGGGCCACCAGACGTATTTTATTATGACTCTAAAAGACCGCATGATAACTTTGTTGTTTGTGTTTCACAGACTGAGGCGACAAGGTGCAAGAGAACAGTACGGCTACAATGAGGTAATACTTCAACGCTCTGTCCAGTGTGAACTTGTACTTCAGTTACATTTTGTCTGGTTTAATTTCCGCATTTTCAACGAATCCTTTCTTGTCAACAGGTTGTTTTGAAAGGAGCAGGGAAGAAGCTGAGTCTTCTTGGTGTAAGTTGAATACTGGGTGGATGTGAAGGGATGAACACTGTTATCCAATGGGTTATAGGGGAAAATAGAAAGCAATGCTAATGAGCTAAATGAATGTGAAAATCATGCAAGAAGGCATTATGCTCATCGAAAACAACTAATAAATATGTGAAAATAGTATAAAATCATTAGACAACTAATTTACCTTGATGTTAACATTACGTTCTCTATAACAGAATATTATTATTATTATTATATGAATGAGGTGTCAGGGCAGTGTAACCATGCAAAACAAAAACTGTGTATTCGGGACTATTTTCACAAACAATTATATAATACAGCTGCTGAATAAATGCATTAGCAATTCAGAGTTTGTAAATTCTGCATACTGGCTCATTTGAGGAATTAAAACAGGAAATACTGTAAAAAAAATAATAAAAGATGACAAGGTGGCAGCCATGTTGTCTCTCAACTGATTCCATGACCTGTCATTTTCCCTCTTCAGCAAACATGTGCGGTGTGTTTAGAAGAGTTTCGCAGCAGGGATGAACTTGGGGTGTGCCCGTGTTCCCATGCTTTTCACAAGAAGTAAGTTCTACGGCTTTTCTTGGCAACTATAAAACTTTCATGAGACTGGGCAGCTGATTCAATATTTGTAAGCATGCAGAGCAGTATTTCAAAGTCACAGTCAAATTAAAAACTCCAGACATGATTCATTTGTTTAGCTGTTTCACAAACTAGTAATCATGGAGCGAATTTTATTGACTCATACATTATGTTTGAGGCTTAAGATGCAGACAGTCTTAAGCTGAAACCATATGCAATCACACACAGTCACTGTGTCTGCCAATCCTTTGTCAGTGGCTCCACACGCATTAGTTTTAAAACCACAAATTATTCTGCTGGTCTTGATTTCGTAAAGTTTTGGAAATGTGCAAAAAAATCTTGACCAAACAGTTCGATGGAATGACTCCACTTTATAACGGATGTCTGCCTTCAATTAGCAGCTGAAGCAGACAGATGCGGTGAAATTCCTCAAAAAATCCAGGAGCTCCTGCAGGGAACCCTGTGATGACCAGATTCCTGAGAACATATGTCCTTGCATGTTTAAACATGAGCACGCCTTTTGCAACTGAGATCTGTTTTTGCCCTGCAGCATAGGTGTGACACTGACAGCAGCGCTTTGAGACCGGTTTCTGACATTTACATTCTGTATCACAAGCGTGCGTGAGCTGTGTAAATATCCTGTATTTCTGTTTTTTGAGGCCTGTTTCGAAACTAAAGCTTTACTTGTTTCTTGATTTGACTCCTAAAGTTGTCACCTGCATGCATCTGTGTAACTTTGCATTTGTTGTCTCCCTTTTCTGTAGGTGTCTGCTAAAATGGTTAGAGATTCGCAGTGTGTGTCCCATGTGCAACAAGCCCATTTGTCGCCTACAGCCCAACCCCCCACAAGCACCTGAGCGGCCTCAGAGTCTCCTGGAGGTCTGAGAGAGCGACGTACGTCCAGCAGCCCGTCACGCTCTCCAGTCAAATGACCTGTCATTACACAGGATCCTGTTCCACATGAACATCCACTGTCCAACTGACTGTAGTTTAATAATGCAAACATTTTGAAGCAGAGCTGCTCTGGAAGTGGAAATAATTTAAATATGACAGCCAAAGAATCAACCTGGCAAACTGTATGTTGGCAATCATACCACTGAGACTGAGGCGGTAATGATAATGACTTTCATAAAACAGGACTAAGGCGAACTATCGAGACTAGATATTGGAATTTTCAATACACAGCCTAAAATGATTAAGCTAATGCGCAAGTGCCTTAAAGCTGCATGTCCCCTAAAGGCCACTGAAAACAAATTCAGCCAGTGTTATCAAGATAAGTTGTCAACCAGCCAATTCTATTTGATCTGCGTGTATTGGTGACAATATTCAAATTAGTTTCACTGGGAGGACAAAGGCTTAAAGAGAGATAGGTTAGCTCACCTGATGGGTTCTGTCATTTCGTTTCACTGTTTTGACTTCATAAAGGACAAAAAACAATCACAGTAAAACCACAAAACAGTCATTTAACCCAACAAGGCAACGAATAATGCATCATCTACATCATGGCGCAGACAGTCATCGCTTTTGCTGGAAAACACAATACTTTGCTTCATCCGTCTGTCATGACACCGAATGATTCAGTGTTTTAAATCCCTGTTTGCTTGGCAGGGACCCAAAAACTTAAACTCCAGGCTTTAGAGGAAATTGTCTCAATCTCATGGGTAGTCATCATGGCTTTTTCAGTTGGTTTTAGGTTAGGGCTGGACAATATTTCAAATTGAAATCACCATTTTAAAACAATGTAATTAGCATATTGCAAAGGCAGTTGTTTAGAATATACATTACGCTGTGCATCTGACCCATGTTTAAACTGTCAAGTCAATAGTTTTATGAATTCATGCTATCCTCTTTGTGAAACAGTGTTATTTTTTTCTCATGTAGTAATTCCCCCATTACATGTTGTGAATCTATTTAACAATATTGAATATTAAACGGGACTGCAAGGTAGAGAGGTGGTTAGCACCATTGCCTCACAGCAGTTCTTGTCCCAGTGAGGACACCTGGGACCTTTCTGCAAGGAATTTGAATGTCCTCCCGTGCAGCGTGGGTTCTCTCTGGGTTCCCCGGCTTCCTCCCACAAGGTCCAAAAACATGTTGAGGTTAATTGGTGATTCTAAATTGTCCGTAGGTGTGAATGTGAGTGTGCTTGGTTGTCTGTCTCTAAGTGTAGCCCTGTGATAGACTGGTGACCTGTCCAGGGTGTCCCCTGCCTTCACCCTGAGTCAGCTGGGATAGACTCCATCCCCCCGGCAACCCTTAAACAGTGCATAGGTAGTGGATGGATGGATGAATAATGAACTGAAGCCTGACTTTAAAAAAAAATCAAATTGCAATATCTGTCAGAAAAATTACAGTTAGATATCTTCTGAAGAAATTTGAAATTATTCAGTCCTAGTCAATGTTACGTGGTTTTCTGCCTTTAGTCAGAGACGCTATAAGAGTAATACCTATTCACTTACTGACATATGTCCCTAACTACCCCCTGAAAAGCTAATTCTGCTGTGTAACAGCTGAACTGAGATCCATTCAGTCAATCGCACTGTTGCACTGATGCAAGCAAGATGTTGTGTAACTGTCTGCATGTGAGCCAAGGTAGAACCTTTGGGGGGAAACTGCTTTTTGACCTTTTTTTTGGGGAAAGTTCCCCAATTTTTAGGTTTTTTTTTTTTTCTTTTTTTTTGTTTTTTTGACTGATCATTTTATACATGCACTGAAATTGCAGCTATGACTTTCTCCCCATTCATTTCGATAGGAGTCTGGTCTAGATAGGTTGAAATAACTGCCCAGGAGTTCTGTCAAGATGGCTGCCAAGTGATCAGACTTGCTTACAAGGACTTCGCTTAAACCACAAATCTTGGTGCAATTAAAACAAGTTAGTGATATCGAGACAACAACACTCAGCATTGCTACTGGGAAGTTGTTACTATGAACAGAGTGCAGAGATGGCAGCTAGTTGTCACCAGACAGTAAATATTCATGGGGCAAGTCGGGTCACATAATACAGCTTCACGCATGGTTCCTTCAGTGTGTCAGTTGTGCCAGGCCCTCAGCATGTTGGGGATGTTGATGTGCAGTGCTACTGCCGTAACTGAACTAATGAGATTATTTCTGCTTCCAGAGCAGCTCTGCCTCTCAAAAAAATGTTGGTATGACAAACTCCAGTCTGCTCGTTTTTCAGTTTGCCCCAAAATGACATGCAGCTCCACGTGAATATAAAATTGTTTTTGCTCTTTTGCCACAACTTGAGAGCCTGGAGACTGAGAAGAAGAAGAAGATTCAACCACCAAAAAAAACACCAGCCATGAGGATATCAGAACATCCCATTGCTCACTGTGGCCCCAAATCTGATGGCGAGTGCAGAGACTGTAATGAAGGATGCGCAAGATTTTTACAATCAAAACGACCACAGAGGCTTATTTAATTGAACAAAACAGGACGACTGTGGACTAACGAGAGGGATGTGTATATTTTGGCTATATCTATTGTCTCACAGTCAGTTGTACAGTGTGTTGCCAAGCTGAGTGAAGGTAGCAATGCCCTAAATGGCAAGACAGTTGAGTCGTATGGGATCTGAGAGAAAAGACAACTATATGCTGTCACAAGCTTGTTCAGCTATAACTATGAGTCCTAAGTGACACAACCACTATAAAAACAAAAACAAACAAAAAACAAATATATACATGATTTTTAAAGTTATTTGTAAGGAAATGTTTTGTATCATAACTGGCTTTCAATAAAATGTATAGTGTGTCAGTGATGCTACAACACTTTGGCTGTCGTTTGTTGGTTTGATGTCACCGTTACTGGTGGGTTAGAACCGACTCTATCATTCTTCAAGGAAATCTTAGCTCAGTGCCCAAAGAACTGCTCTGCACTGTAGTGATATAAATAGACACTGCAGCGACAGGAAGAGCCTGTTTGAGCTGGTTTCTTGTTTGAGTGAGGTACACCACAAACATCTTTCTCTGTATGTACTATGTTATAGACTGTGCGTACTGTGTAAACGGTAAATTCAGTTTAAATTTCTGTCTTTATATATGTATATTTATATATATATATATATATAAAAAAAATAGAACCAGTGTTTTAATAAGGTCACTTTGGTGCAGGTCTTTTTTTCTGGTTTTTCTACGTGGGCAGTTAAGGCTGGGGTTTTTTGTGTATATTTTCAATATAATATATGGTGAGGTGACACCATTTTGCTGTTGGTGTTCTATTTTTGTATCCGGTGGTTTTGATCTTATTAACTGTGTGCATATGTACAGTATAGTTATGGTACTGTCACCACTAAGGTGCCTCTTTTGCTATATAAATGTGCCTGAAACAAAAAGTTTGCCTAAATTAAAATATACTTTGTTGCTGTTCTAGGGATTGGAACATCAGTCTGTCGGTTGGTTGGTCTGTCAGTCCACCACTTTGGGCCATGTTGAAATATCTCAATTATTTGATTGCCATGAAATGTTGTAAATAGAATAATCATTCCAAATACCTGGCTTTCTATCTTCAGCAGGTCAAAGCATTCATATATCCAGTGAAGATCCTAACATCTGCTAGATGGGTTAACCTAACATGTTGTGCAGACATCGGAAACTGTATATATATGATAGACATAACCTCTGGTTCTGAAAGTGAAACCAGCACCAAAGTGTGCTAAACCTGCATTCTTTCTGATGACCTGAGGGGTCGACTGCTCTGGTTGCAAAATTAAGTCTAATTGCATTGAAGTCTATGAGAAAATGACCATACTTCTACCTTGACCCCTCAGGAAACATTTTATGGTTTATTGTCTCAATGAGTAGTTTCGAGTCTTGTTCAAAAAGCATGATGTTCATTTTGTAAATTATGGTCCCATGTAGCTGCAAGGTGGAACAGTGGTTAGCACCGTTGCCTAGCAGCAAGAAGATCGCCAGTTCACATGCTGGTGAGGACACCCGGGATCTTTCTTGCATTTTCTCCCCGTGCAGCGTGGGTTTTCTCTGGGTTCTCCGGTTTCCTCCCACACAGTCCAAAACATGTTGAGGTTAGATTGTCCGCAATTGTGAATGTGAGTGTGCTTGGTTGTCTGTCTCTGTAGCCCTGCGATAGACTGGTGACCTGTCCAGGATATCCCCTGCCTTCGCCCTAAGTCAGCTGGGTTCCAGCTCCCCCGCAACCCTAGTGAGGATTAAGCAGTGTGTATGGATGGTCCCATGTAGGGTGAAATGGAAAACAAAGCATGGTCAGTTTTAAGGCGAGGTTATCTTGTGATTGACAGGTCGCTACTGTATCACCCTGTGTGGTGTCCTCGAATTCTCAGTCGTTTCCATCGCTTGTACGTCCCATTTCAAAAGACAAAGATCACAAAAAGGTCACAATGGTAGTCTACAAACCAATGGTGATGTCACAGTTGCTACGTCCATCTTTTTTATACAGTTCCAAGTGGATGTATCCTAATGACCTTGGTGACCCTATGACTTTCGTCTCGCACCATCATCTGATCAACATTCCAATTTGTCCAACACTTTGGTTTATGACCAAATACCTGCAGAACTAATGATGCTTTCATCCAAGTCAGTAGTGTTTTATGGTCGGTGCTACTTAACAAATGTTACCTGCTGATGTGCCGAACCAAATGGTGAATATAACAACTGTATAACATCAGCATATTAGCAATAGAATCATAAACACGTTAGCATGAAACTAGCATTTAGCTCACAGCCTTGGTGGGCCTCATTCTGCTGCTGACATGGCTTATCAGTGGAGAATAAGACAACAAATTTCCTACCGTCATTTCTTCCTGTGTTAACTACAATAAGATATGCTGGACTGTTCCTATGTTACCGTGGTGTTTGTGTGTGATTGTAACATGGTAGGCCAAACCACAATGCCCAGGTTTCAGCATTGTTCAAAATACTTAATTCCTCTTCAGATGACTCCATAAATCCCTGGCAAACAAATTAGATTACACCCTGAAATGTACAGCATAATTATTCCCAGTGTACGTTGTATGTTGTCAGACTAACAGCGTAACCGTATAGTTAATCATTCTAAAAAGTGGCCTTTGATCAATCCTGCAGGTATGAAGACACGCATGGCTGCAGAAATATGCACCTCTTAAACACACAAACGACACAAAGCTGTTACACATAGTGATCACATGACCCTCAGTTCACGCATGATGTTAGGATGTTTGCACAAGAACACAAGAATGTCATAAAAAAAAGTCTTTCAAGGATACTGATCGTCCATTATTGACATTGAGTAAAACAAACACTCAAAAAGGTAGAAATATTTTTTTGAGTCCCAAAAAAACACAACACTACAAACATAGTAAGATGTATATTAACACAGACATCCTTCTACAGACAGAAAGTAGTTCACGCTTCCTCATAAAGAAAACTCTCAAAAAGTAAATATTTAACTACAAGAAGTCCAAGATATCTGTGAGCATTCAGGGCACATAAACTGCCTGATTAAACCAAGTGGAGGAAAGTTTGGAGGATAAAGAGGATTGTCATGAATGAAGGTGACTAAAGCATCACTGCTCTCTCTTGGCTTCAACTTCAAACCGAGCAAATACACATCAGTGAGAATACTGTGTATACTGTGCCACCTGATTGCTTTTTCATCCTCGTCTTGAGAACGGTTGTTTTGCATGCATGTACAAGCCGTCGTGTCTCTGGGGTTCCTGAGTCACTAAACCACTTCCCAGATGTACAGCTCTAAGTAGCGATCTGCTGCTTTCTCTGAGTCAGCGGACGAGCTGATTTTTATCCTCCAGATGCAAGATGACCTGCCCCATCCTGCATAATCTGACTCTCGTTCACTCAGCTGGCAGCATGATCAGAAAACAAAGGCAAACGTCCTCCTGCTTTGAATTACAGTACAGCATAACTCATATCATGCTTTAATGTTTTCTCCTGCCATAAAAGGGAAAATCCATGACTATTGCATCTTTATTAAGATGTGGCTAATGCACTAACTTTCTGTTTTAATCAACAAAGCATAATACAAATTAATTAACTGCTACTTCTGCCTCTCAATTATTAGCGAGCAAAATCCCAAGGGAACTGTATCTATCAGTCTGTTTCATGTTTGCAGCTCCAAATCAGACCTGATGATAAGTCAGCTCCATATTTCTCAGCTGAGCTACATCAGCAACCACCATCCAGACAAAACAAGCTTACTGTATGTTGAAAATAGAAGTAATTATATGTTGGACGTGTATGTGAGATTAAGGTTGACATATAGCCTTGTATCATCCTGGCACAGACTCAGAGCTGTAATGTCTTTAGCATTTTAGTTTAGGCAGATAACGGGGCAGCATCTGTTCTACAACTGCACATAAAATTCTTGTATTCTTTTGTGTAACCACCAGTCTTATATTTGACTATTACGTTAACAAATAATACTAGACATAAAAATCCATCCATCATCTATACACCGCTTAATCCTCACTGGGGTCGCAGGGGGCTGGAGTCTATCCCAGTCGACTTAGGGTGAAGGCAGGAGACACCCTGGACAGGTCACCAGTCTATCACAGGGCTACACTTAGAGACAGACAACCAAGCACACTCACATTCACATGTACGGACAACTTAGAATCACCAATCAACCTCAACATGTTTGTAGACTGTGTGGGAGGAAGCCGGAGAACCTGGAGAGAACCCACGTTGCACGGGGAGAACATGCAAACTCTATGCAGAAAGATCCTGGCGACCTTCTTGCTGCGAGGCAGCGATGCGAATCACCGTTCCACCGTGCAGCCCCTGTTCCAACACATGGCATCTCTAAAACAAAGTGGATGTCATAAAAAACAATAAGTATGCACTCTATTGGAAATGATGATGGCAGATGAAAAGTGAAGTCACAGACAAGAAATCACTCGTCAGTAACAAGCCCCACTTTTGTAATGATGTTGTTAATGCTGCTTGTGGAACGCTGATTTGTAAGAAGACAACAGTGAAGTTGCCTGTCTCTAACTGACATGCAGCCTCCTGCATCTTCATCTTTCTCTTGTCATCTGTGGCATTGTGTCATTCCAATGAAGCTGCATTTTATAGTCCACTGGTCAGTGGAGTGTCTGCGTACTGGTCACACTATCTGATCATTGCCTTTTAAAGCCCAACCTGACCAGGGTGTGGATTAACTCGCTGGTTAAGAATTTATCACGACTTGAACAGCTCAAAAACTATTTGTGCACAGTTGGCTAAATTTCACAGTTTTCTGATCAGAACAATTGAAATAGGAACAAAGTCACAAAGGAAGGCCATTTGCTAGCTGTCTTTACAGTTTTGATTTGCTGTGGAGAGTTTGGACAGCCGGGAACACCTTCAGCTCTTTGTCATGTGCTTTGAACTGTATTAAACTAAACATCTTTTTCAACAGGAGGCACAATGCTCTGTGGTTAACTATTGGTGGTGGTTTTAGTGGCAACTAGAACCTGCAAGACCAGCCAAAGACATTAGTTGCATGTCATTTCTCATTTCTCATTTCCTGCCATCTCTCCACCACTGTCTATCTAATAACGCCACAAAATGCCTCCAAAATAATTATGTTAACTTTTCCTATTTCCTGTTCAGCTGCTCCTCAGAATATAAGGTGCAACAGCAAAACAACACAGCCTGCATCATCTTCGCACAAACGCCGGCTGATTCAGTGACACTGTATGCAAAGCAGAGAGATGAGGGTGTAATACTGTCAGTACATTCTGATTAAAATGGGGAGCGAAAATGTATATTACACCTGCACTGAGCTTAGGCTTAGGTGTAAGAAGGAGTTTTATTTAGTAAAACCAAAACAATCACTTAGGCTTCCTTTGGTTATCTACAAAGGTAAATAGTTCTAATAAATGAGTAATAAATGAATGAGAGCAGATCATCCCAGTTAAATTAACAGTCATTAAAAAACCATCCATTATGAACTTTTGTTTGATGGAGTGACTTTCTGGAGCCTATGACCTCCAGCATAAGGACATTCAGCAGCTAAAGCATAAAAAGTCAGTGTAATACATAACAAGGTGGCAGATTGCCCTTCTCAAATAAACAACACGGTGTAAATCATGAGTACTTGTGTCATGGAGGAATGTCTGTACGGCGTGCTGCTGGGATTAAGACTCTGGTGGACATGCCGCTGCAACAACCAACAACTAAATCTCTTCTTATAATGTTACCACGGAAACAAAGGGGGCTTGTCATGTAAGATAGCATATAGGCTTCGTTGTGATTTCTTTCTTTTATTTGGTTGCTTAAAACTTATTCTCAAAATATGCAGGTCACCACCTCTTGACACAGAAAATATTTTCAAGCAACACGCTAAGGCTGAATGGTTTAGGCAAAAATATCTAATTGTGATTTTTCTTACAGATAGTGTGATTGGCTTGCAATATAATATAGTTTCTTATAGTCCAGCTCAGTGTGGCTGTTGAATAATGAGACCGGGTTTATGTCAGCTGAACCACAGCATGCACACTCATTGTTTACATTGATTATTGGGCAAGCACAAACAATACCTGAAAGTTTCAGTCTCTTAGAATTAAAAAAAAACTGAATTACAGCACACAACATGTCCTAAATTGAAGCCTTTGCAATTTGCAGATTACTTTGTTTTAAACTACAATATTGATTCAAAGTTGATTATTTCTTCAGCCCTACGACACACAGTGAGAAATAATAATATTTTGTTTTGTGGCTCACTGCACCATCTGCAATTGTGGCTCATGCAGGGAATGTTTGCAGTAAAATGTCAAATTCACCAGTTTTCTAAATGACATTTTCCTTAGGCCACCACAACACGATTGCTCCTCCTTGGTAGTGTAGCAAAAGTTCAATTGGTGCAGCTACAGACAGTGTTCTCCACATTGTTTTTATTGGATATTAGCTGTATTGGATGTATGAGGTGAAACTTATACGTTATTAGTGCTAATATAACAGGTGATCAAATTAATAATTTGTGGCTGCACCTAAAAAGAGTTGTTTACTCATGATCACTGTATATCCTGACAGAGTCTTGCAAAATAGGATGAGGTAAAATCAATAATAAACACCGATTTATTCTACATTTCATATTTTTAATTGTTTGACATTGCTTTACAGGAATCTGATTGTAAATGAAGATGAAATAAAAACTTTCATGTCTTTATTTTGACTGAAAGACTTGTCAAAAGAGCAAATTAATTTGACCATTTTAATGTTGAAAAACAATGAAAGATGAAAACCTCCATTTTTATAAACCTCTGTATTAAACATCGCAGTGAGTATTCAGATATACTCACTGCAATATTTGCTGTAGTCTTCTTTCTTTATATGTTCTCGGTTTCTTCTCAGCACCAGCTCCATGTACCTCTCTTGGTTCTGCTTGCAGTGACCGCCTCTGCTGGCCACGTGATGTAACACCCGGCCTTGTCACCATGGCGACAAGTCAGCGTATTGCCCCAGCATCATGATCCCAACATCAGAAATGTACAACATGAATGAAAACACACACGATTACTGGAGCGACACTTCTGCTCTTCGTGGCAAATGACTTTTTAAAACCCTTCTCTGACTCTACTCACATTGTTCAGGCGCTCCTCATGTTTTGGTTTCACCGGGACTCGCTTCATTGCGCCTTCAAAATAAATTCACAGTTTGTCAAATGTGTTTGGAATTACTCCGAAAATATCGAGTTTTAACTTATTTTGTTATATTTTTTGCTGGTAGCCAAACTCTAGTTAAGTCATGTCATTTTCCGATTTGTATCATGTTGTTAAATTGAATATACCAATTAGCTAGAAGCTATTTTATGTATGTTTTGTATGTGTGTTGTGCCTCTGCTTGTTCTTCAAAGTTTTGAGGATTTAAGGACCTTTGTGTTTCAACCCAGCTACAGAATAATTACTAATCAAATGATTAAGCACGCTCCAGACTATGATATAGACATGTAATTTATTCATTGTTGGTCACTTTACATTTATTATGAAGGATCCAGGCCGGATGTTGTAATGTTGTGGCGCCTCGCGGACATGAGGAGGGAAACAAAACCGCTCACGTGACCGTGAAGAAGCAGCAACACAGTAGATAAAAGTTAGAAACGGCTTCTGCTCCTTGTTTAAGTGGTTTTTCTCGGCATTTGTGCAGACGAAGGCTTGTATTTCGGCCAGATTCGGTAACACAGGCGGCTACAGCAGCTCCATGCTCACGTGTATTTATTGTTTTAGTCGTGAAAATAATAGGCAAGCTAACGTTAGCCGACTAGTCAAGTGTAGCTAACTTACAATAAGTTAACTGAAACCTAAAAACAGCTTCGACCTTTGGACCAAAGTTAAACTTTGACTAAAGGAAACTATTTAATTCGCTATTTTGTTCTCGCAACTGAAAGAGACAAAGGAAGTGTGTTGTTGCCGTGTCGGTGGGAATGTCATCGTCTCCGTTTGGTCGCAAGAGTCATGAAGAGTCAAACTTATCACACAGCGACTCTGAGGACGAGGTACGTTCAGTCATATTCACTCACTTCAGAGCTCACCTCCCCTTTAATTTCACAATGAATCCGTCTTCTTCGTCTGGTTCTGACAACTGACTGTTTTATCTAGTGTTTGACGCTTGGTTGTCTTTCTCACTCAACTAACACCTGCAATAGCGGAAACCTGTTGATGCTAATGCATTGCAGTTAGTTGTTTATTAAAGGCAGACGTTGGTTGGTGTGTAATGCAGCAGCATCAATGTTTTAAAACTTCAACCGTTTACTGTGATGTGTTTCCACAGCCCAAGCTCCCTCTCAATCAGTTCTATCCATACATCCGCTGCGCCCTGTGCTGCGGGTTCCTCATAGATGCCACCACCATCACAGAGTGCCTGCACACATGTGAGTTATTACAGGTGTCCTTTAGGTGCTGCAGTCCTCACAGGGCTTCACTGGGATCCAAAAGGGAGTAATCCAATATATTCCTCATGTCACTAAAGGCTGGTGAACTGCTTTTGGTTGATACTAAACTATCACTGAAATAGTTTTAACATATGCGTCAGTCAGTAAGTATCAGGGAATTTAACTTTGGACTGAACAATTTAGGAAAACGTAAGAAAGTCTTTTAAAGTAAAGTGTTTGTTCAGTATTCAAACATGCAAAATATTATTCATCATAAATGGCAGCCTTTTCCAATATGCTAATTGCATTGTTTCATATCATGATTTCAATTTGAAATCAATATATTTTTCACTCCTACATTCAGTAAAGCCACACATTTGTGAATTGTATTTGTATGTTATGTATATGTGTTCTGCAGAAAGTGATCCTGCTGTTCATCACAGTTCTTCTACAGCCACATTCCATGGATGCTTTAAAAATGTTGCTGTTGTCTAAACAGTCCACTTACATTTCATTGTGCTTTGTTTTCTTCAAGTTTGCAAAAGCTGCATTGTGAAGCACTTCTTCTACAGCAACAGATGCCCCACATGCAGCATCGTGGTCCACCAGACACAACCTCATTACAACATCAGGTGGGACTCATGCATGTTTGTCATATCTGCAACATTGTTCACCTTGTGTACCTGTTGAATGAATAGTTGTCTGTCAGCTAGGTTGATATTTGAGTTGAAGTAATGCACAGGGGGACACAGATTCTTTTAAAGTGGAAATTCTGCTCTGACTCACATCTCTACCAAAGTAAATCTGTACTGAGCTTTTATAGTTTTGTTTGTTCTGTTTCCCTTCAGGCCTGACAGACAACTACAGGATATTGTTTACAAAATGATTCCCTTCCTGGAAGAGTGTAAGTGTGTGTTTATATTTATAAATACATTTGTTATACCCGCAGACACCTTTAATGTATTAAAGTACTTCATGTGTCTTTTTTTGTGTGTTTTCTTTTTCTATCTACAGCTGAAAGAGAAAAAATGTGTAAATTCTACAAAGAGAGAGGGCTCGAGGTGCCAAAACCAGGTGAAATAGTTTACCCAGAAGCCTTATAGGCTTAAGTAAATGGGCACTGTTAGCTGAACAAGTGACTGTGTGTGCACTGTAATGTACAGTATGGCACTATAGGAACAGCATTTTGACATTTTACCTGCATGCTTCTTTTTACATTACATTCACATCATTACATTATGTGTATTCATGAACTGGAAATTTAAAGATGGAGCACAACAGTAAAAGCATGAGACTTCCTCACTTTTTTTTTTCTTCACAATTTGCCTTCTCCTTCCTGCTTTGCAGTGGTCATATCTCCCCCAGGTCCTGTTGTGTTGAGGAGACAGAAGAAGGATAGCATTCCCCAGTCTGTGTTCACCATTCCTCCTGAGCTGGATGTGTCTCTGCTGCTGGACTTTGTTGGGTAAAGATTTGCACACTGCAGTTCTCTGTCTTGTGTTAATTGCAGATGATGGTGCTCAGCCTCCTCGCTGCTCTAAACACATGAATGCACTTTAGAGGCCCTGCACAACTTTAACCAACATTAAATACAACAAAAACCATGTTTGCAAATGGATTAGATTTTAGTGAGACACAGCAACATCAGTGTAACAATTACTTGTGGATCACAGGTCTTTATGCATCTCAGGATGAATTAGACATCATGAAAGAAAAATTATATATATATACAAGGAGGTCAAATGGGAATTTAGGCTGGGAGAATGTCAAGACAAATGCTGATGGTGCTTTTCTCTTTTAGCTTCTCATCTCTTTTCCCGTGTTTATTTCAATTATGATGAATATTTTCAGTTGTACATTAGTTTCATTATATTTGATCACCAGTTCTCTGTAGCTGTTGCCTTTAGTTTGATTGCGGTCTGTTCAAATGTTTTGCCATAAAAACACTCAGTCGTAGCTGTATCGTCTTATCAACGTCTCCTTTAAGAATACAAACACAGCGTTTTATGAAACAGCATCGTAACAAGAACCAGGGTGGAACAACAGCCTGCAGGGTGATTTCTGTTCATTTACTTTGTCGTAGGTGTAAATAGTTCTCTAATTAGCAACTAGACATCCACTGTTGCATTTTATGTCCTCATTGTTGAGAATTGCCTTGAAAATATAAGAGGTAGCAAGTTCTAGTTCAAATGATAGTGGTTCTGCTTTTGACTGGTAGACGTAAATGTGACTGGCCACAGTTTGCCTTCTGCTTTAAGGACAAACGAGGACACCCTGTTCTTAGAAATACGTGGTATTTATCATGCAGTTCCATGAATACGCCAGCAGATGGTCCTACTGTGTCACATCGACAAGAAAGATGTGCTTCTCTTAACTGTTTGCTTTGCTTTCAGGGCTGAAGAAGGCGTCTGCAACTATAAGGTAAAGCCTTATTAGATTAAGAATTGATGAGAACTTGATAACAAATTTACTGTGAACTACTGTCAAAAATAGTTTTGTCTCTGAGCTCTGCATTTTTCTGCCACTGTATAGTTTAGCTGTTTGGTAAAATATTTAAGTAGTCCACTATTTTCTGACCCTTAAGCAGCGGACTTCAGCTGTTAAATGTACTTTCTTCGTACGGTCCAAGCCCGTTTACTGGGAACCGTAGCGGGGGTCTTATTTGTGGGATCTGGGGTAGTGACTGAGATGAGGTAGAATAAACACTATGTCTACTAAAGCTGCAGTTAATGATGACTATTGTCATCAGTTGATTTGTTGATTTTTTTTACTTATTTAATCAATTAGTTGTTTCATCTACAAAATGTCAGAATGTGGTTAAAAAAAATAAAAAAATACCTTCAGTTGTCCTCAGAGCCCAAGATGATGTCTTGGTTTGTCCTCAACCCAAAGATATTCAGTTTACTGTCATAGAGATGTAAAGAAACCAGAACCTATTTCAAAAATTTTACTTTAAATTAGTCAGTTATCAAAATAGGAAGCGTTTCATTTAATAGTTGACAACTAAATGATTAATCGTTGCACCTCTGTTGTCTCCTGTGAGTTACAAATAGTTAAATACAATCTGTAAAATGCTGATTAATCCAGAATTAATTGTAATTTTGACACTGTGTGAAAATGTATTATTGATGCTTTTTAGTTTTGTCCCAAGTGTTACAGTTTAAAACAGCATATTCCCAGTTTTAGTCAGTGTTCCTTATAGCTTTTGATGACTTTCCACCCTGACCATCTTTTTCCTGTTTAGCCACTGGAGAGGCGGTACGTTCGCGTGTCGGGCGAAGCCACCATTCGCCACGTAGAGCTGTTCATCAGGAGGAAGATGGAGCTGAGCCCAACGTGCCAGGTGAGTCTGCCAGGTTCACAGCTAATGCCTTCACAGAGTTGCATGATCGCAGTCTGGATCTCAGTATTTGCTTTAGACAGACTTGGAAGCAGTAAAAAGAAAAGAAGTTGGCACTGGCTTGTACAGCGACATGGGTCACTGTTATATGTAAGTGATGCCTTTATGTTTTAAACAGACAGCAGACACAATATGAGTCTCCAGTGTTATCAAAACGGTGTGCAGGCAGGAAACGTGTGACCGAATGATTCCTTGAATAGTGTCAGAAAGGTTATGTAAAAGTCAGCTGATGACTTGCTGGCCTGAGATACCCTCCTGGTAAAGGCAGCAACGCTGAAAACATTTCAGAGAGCGTGGTAAACTTGTGACGTGGCTGAAGCTGTTCTCCTCCAGTAATACATCTATCGGATGCTGCAGTAATGTGGATCGAAGCTGCATTGGGAGTGTGTCTGGCGTTTAATTAGTCTAAAAAACCCTGTGCACATAAAAGCCAGGTGCCTGCATGTGATACAAATGCACAGAACAGCATCGGTGAGTGTACAACCGTCCTCGCAAGGAGCATTTGTACTCTGTGTGCCCAAATGCGGTCCCAAAAACTTGTTGATATGAGAAGTGCTTCCTCAACCCTTCCATGAATTTACTCAACACTGGCTTGCTCATTATGTTGACTTTTTAGCTTTAAGACACAAGAGAGTGGGAAATAACTGCTCGTCTCACTGGCTGTATGACTTGTGTTGTTTGGTCATGCAGCTGCTGTTGGGGTCGCGGGGGGGCTGGAGTCTATCCCAGCCGACTTAGGGTGAAGGCAGGGGACACCCTGGACAGGTCACCAGTCTATCACAGGGCTACACTTAGAGACAGACAACCAAGCACACTCACATTCACACCTACGGACCATTTAGAATGACCAATCAACCTCAAGATGGTTTTGGACTGTGTGGGAGGAAGCCGGAGAACCCGGAGAGAACCCACGCTGCACGGGGAGAACATGCAAACTCCACACAGAAAGATCCCGTGTGTCCTCACCGGGACGTGAACCTGCAACCTTCTTGCTGCGAGGCAACAGTGCTAACCACTGCGCCTTTACCAAACGCTAATTTAATATATTCAGATTAATAATACAAAATATAATTAATCAATAATTTATAATGTTAAAATGTCCTGCAGGGAGACTTTATTAGATTGGGATTGAAACTAATTGATCCCCAGGGGAAATTTATAAACTCCTTGCCAGTCAGTAACAGTATCATCAAAATCAACCTCACCTTTACTGGCTGTAACATTAATGTGATTTACACCTTAAATTAATAATCATAATATCATAATATAATATATGTTAGTCTGTTAAGGACTTCTGCATAATGAGTGCTTTATTCCCTGTTTGTTGTTTACTTTAAGTAGCCTACATTTTGATGCTGATACCTAAATTAAAATGTTTAATGTAACACTTTAACTCGTAACAGAGTATTTCTACATTGTGATATTTTTAGTTTTACATACGGACAAGATGAGAGTACAGATGGGGAGGATCCTGAGCACTCGGCACAGTTTCATGATCGCAGGACTACCGAAATGCTCTCCAATGAGGATGGTTTTCCTCCTGTTATGTAGTCTGTGCTTGTATGACGTGTATGAGCCTGGTATTTATGTTCACACTTTTTGAGGCTCATTAAATGCTGTAAATGTGTCTTTAGGGGTAGGTATGTGTCGGCCGACCCTGCTGACAGAGGGTGTTTGGCTTTGTAGTGGTGTTGCTTGCAAGAATTATTGAAATAGAATTGTACTGACTCCCCCCAAAAACAAGCACTAAACAAAAGACTTAAGGAGAAATGGAAAAAGAGAGAGGCAATATACGTGGACAGAGAGGTGAAACTGAACCTCTACTTTTATTTTGTAATTATTTGATGGTTCATCAGCCATGTGTATGAACTACACTACCGCTGCCAACAGCCATATGAATGGGTCTAAGGTGTGTTAAATAGATCCATGTGATACACATCTGTTGCATTAAAGACATATAGGCCAGAGGTAACAACACAGTATCACCTGGAAGATGTTTTCTCCAAGTGGTGTCTTTAGTTTAATTGGATGATAAGAAGTTCCCAACTTTTTTATCTCTGTGAGAGACTCACATCAAAATCCACCTTATTCAGAAGAACAGAAACATAATCGGAGAACAAAGCAGTGCAACGAGGACTGCACCTGCGCTGGAGGGACAAAACAACTGCTGAATACAAGCAGAGCTCAACATAGAAGGGGCAGCTAGCCGGGTCAAAACTCAGCAGGAAGCCGACATGAAAGGACAACAGACACTCCTTAAGGACAACCCTAATCTGATTTTAATCAAATTATTAGTGCAGTGATACCGTATGTCTGTCTTAGAGCTGGGTATCTGTTGTAAGAGAAGGCTCATGATTGTAAATAGTAGTCCTATAATCAGATGTGTCCTCCTTTCCTGAGCAGAAAAGTGTGATCAGTTCAGCAGGGTGTTGAGGAGTTGGTGTAATTTGTATTTAGTAACACGTGGATGAGGATTAGCAGCTTACACTGTTTTCCTGGCCTCAGTGCTGCACTGCTCTGGCCTCTCTGGACAAACCTGGATGCCATAATTGTCTTTTTATTGTTACAACACTTTAAGAGTCATTTGAATTGTCCATATTTGTCCTATATTTTAGCGTAGATCACTGTGACCTTTTAGTTTTTGAAAAGTAGTCAAGACAGTATTTTGAATGTTTTGGTGAGTTGATGGTGTTTCCATATTTGGATCTTTATGTAGCAAAAAGAACCAGTTTAGTTAATAGTGTAGTTCTCAGAAAGTCATATTCGGCCACAGATTTGTCTCCAAAATTTGTAGAATTGTTTGTTAGACTGACCTGAATACCTTGATCTTTCATCATAAAATCATAGTCATAAAATCATGAGAATGCTGATTTCTCTCTCTGCATCAGAGGACTCATGAACTGCTCTGTTAAGTTGGATCTCTGCTGCAGTGGTGTGAAATATTTTTGTGTGTCCCTGCAGGTGGATGTGGTTTGTGGAGATCACCTCCTGGATCACTACCAGTCACTCAAAGACATACAGAACTCTGCGGGCGAAGACGCGCTACAGGTGAGAACCACAAAAACACACAGTTGGAAGAAACAGAAGTTAACCTATGTTTTCTTTTACAAGGTATTTAAAATGTTGCATCATTGAGATTATTAACGTACAATATTAATTGGAAAGAAAAAGAGACTCTTAGTGGCATCTGGCTATTTAGGTAGGTGGACTGAATCGACAGAATTTGATATAAAGTTTCATAGAATGGATGTGAATAAATTAGTTTAGTAGTTTAAGAAAAACATTCAGCTACAACCTGTCTCTCTGAAACCAGGATCATTGTTTCATAGGACAATCCACATCCACAGAATACAATGTGTTTTTTTGGCACTACTGAAGAAATGCTCCCAGTTTTTACTGTCTGCGGTCTGATTTATGAGCACCAACCTCATCGGACAAGTGCTCCCACTCGTCACAAATCCCAATTTAACACCTACAACAAACCAATAACGGCTATAACATTTGAACTTTTATCGACCTTTCTGAGTGATCCGTTTGTTCTTTTTTTACCTTTTGCTCCAGGATGGTCTGTTGGTGCTCCACTTCGGGTTGGTCCTGCCCTCCCAGTCTTGAACACGAGAGATGGATTTAGCTAATTCCTCAGCTGATAAGCTAACCTTTTGGACGTCTCTTCATCAGACTCATGTCATCATGTGGAGTTAGGTTTCTACATTGGCATAACTTGTAACTGTAACTACTGCACCACTGTCTTGAATGTGTTGTTAGAACTGACCAATTGTCACCACCTGCTTACAAAGATAAAACTACTAACTGACATGTAGCTACATTTAGGAGTTGGCCAGCAAAACTTGTGAGGTATAACAGGAAGATGTCTGGCCTCATCTACATGTAAAACTGAACTTTTCTGTTAACACAGAGGCAACAAATTCTCATCCATCATGATCATTAACTTCTATTCAGGACAACCCTTGTGTCTGACATGAATTCGATGGACACAGGTGGCTTACATTTGATTGACTACAGTACCAACATGTACAAAACATGTTTCAACTGATGACTGGAATTGAGAGATTCCTGTTTTTACTGCCAACGTGACTTATGAGGATAAGTTAAGTCACAGCAATGGGACTTCTGCTTTAGCTGAACTTGGATCGAAACACTGTTTGTGGGTCTGAAACTCTTAAAATTTCAAACCATACGTGCATGAGGTCAGTAGAAGCTGCTCCTCTCTAGTTTTACTGTCTTTTTGGAATCCAGGGACCTTCATCTCAGTTGTTTTCTATTTATTATTTCATGACTTGGGCATTATTTGAAAAAGAAAACAGAATTTAAGGGCTTGAAGTACAAGAACTACCACTACCAAAGGTTTGTGAATGTATTTATATAGAGTTTAGATTTATACTCTGATTAGTTCAATTTTCCTTCTTATTGATTGACTTGTTTAATTTAAGAGCTGCTAACAGTTGTTTACTGTTTGCTGATATTAATTGATAAAACATGCTTTCAATGCTTGCAACAGCACAAAAGCAACTGTTTAAAGGGGGTTTGTATAAAGAGGTCTTTGATGAGGTTTGGTAAAAATATATTTTCTACTAGGTTTTGTGATTTTTGAATTAATAAATAAATGCATAACTGAGAAATGTCTTCTGATTCATCCTGGGGTGGGTTTAGAAATGTTTCAAAGAGGGGGTTGAATGGAGAATGTTTGGGGAAAGTGAAAATAAGTTAAGACTCAATCATAAATCAATAAAAGCTGCACCTCATTAACAGTTATGTTTTTATTTATTGTAATAAATGAATGCCAAAATATCCATCCATCCATCCATCTTCTCCCGCTTATCTGGGGTCGGGTCGCGGAAGCAGCAGCCTTAGCAGAGCCGCCCAGACTTCCCGATCCGTACACACCTCCTCCAGCTCTTCCAGGGGGACCCCCAGGCGTTCCCAGGCCAGTCGAGAGACATAGTCTTCCAACGTGTCCTGGGTCTTCCCCGAGGCCTCCTCCCGGTGGGACGCGCCCGGAACACCTCCCCAGGGAGGCGTCCAGGAGGCATCCGAAACAGATGCCCGAGCCACCTCAACTGGCTCCTTTCGAAGTGGAGGAAAATAAACAACTTTAAATATTGTAATAGGAGATCTCTCAAATCACTCAAATAACTAGAAACTAGAAAAAGGTAATAAATAAAAATTTTCTAAATTATTATTTCGTGAAATAGGACATTTCTTGGGCTGCAGGGTGACGCATTCGGTAGCACTTTTGCCTCGCAGCCAGAAGGTTGCCGTTTCGCGGCACCGGCATCTTTCTGCGTGGAGTTTACATGTTCTCTCCGTGCAGCGTGGGTTCTCTCCAGGTTCTCCGGCTTCTCCCACACAGTCCAAAAACATGTTGAGGTTAATTGGTGATTCGAAATTGTCCGTAGGTGTGAGTGTGCTTGGTTGTCTGTCTCTAAGTGTAGCCCTGTGATAGACTGGTGACCTGTCCAGGGTGTCCCCTGCCTTCACCCTGAGTCAGCTGGGATAGACTCCAGCCCCCCGCGACCCTAGTGAGGATTAAGCGGTGTATAGATCATGGATGGATGGATGACATTTCTTTTGAATTGTGGGTGTAAAGAATTTAAATTTAAAACAACAACAAAAAAAAACTGTCCTGGACAAATTAGAGCACTTTGCTGATGAGCAGTGCAATCACAATACCTGTCAACAGGTGCAGAGGTCTGATTGAGAGTTACAGAAAACATTTGGCTGCAGTGATTGGCTCAAAGGGTTGTTCAACAAAATATTAGTTTATGGGTCCCATCATGCTTGTTTTTTGTTGTTGTTGTTGTTGTTAATATTTCTGTTGAACCACAATTCAAAAGCAATGTCATGATGTTCATTCATTTTTAAAAAATTTATTATTGCTTTTGTCAATTTCAGCGTATTTCAGTGACAGCTGTTTTTTCCTTCTTTAATGGAAGGGTATGAATACATTTGAGGTACTGGTCATGGGTCCAGTCCAGTCTGACGGACCATGTAAACCAAGGGTCTCGAACTCCGGTCCTCGAGGGCCGCAATCCTGCAAGTTTTAGATGTTTCCCTCTTCCAACACACCTGATTGAAATGATCAGGATCGTTATCAGGCTTCTGCAGAGCTTGATGATGAGCTGACCGGAGTTCGAGACCCCTGATGTAAACAGACGCACAGAGATTAGGGAAGACTCATATGTTCCCGGAGGCAGCCTCGCGTCATTTGTGAATATGTTGACTTGCATATAGAAGCACCGACAATCATTTGTCAATCGTGTTATTTTATTCAATGCGTTATGCAGCACAACGGAAACAACAGTGAATGACACTTTTCCAACAGGTGCAACCAGGTGAGCTGATCTGTGTTAGGAGCTGGATGACATGGAATATCTGAGATGTGATTGTGTTTGCAAACAGGAAACCACTTTTTAATGCTGTAAAACACATCACAATGGTGCAAAGACAAAAGCAGCAGTGACTGTCATCCTACATCACACACACACCTTGTGTCTAACATGCTTCAAGCTTAAAGTTCACACAGCAGAGAAACGGAGCTATTCTGACATTTTGTTTGCTAACATATCATCTGAGCAAACTTCACACATCTCTAAAGTTTCAGTGTCGTGACAAAGTAGCAAAATGTACATTAATTTCATTAACATTCACTACTTGGTCACATGTTGACTGTCAAACAGTTTGTTCCCTCGTCCTGGAGATGTGCAGAACATCAGCTCTAGATTTTCAGATTAGTTTCCTTATCTAATGTTGGAGTTTTATGACTAGCGATACTCATGAACCTTGTATTTTATTTGATGGTTTTCAAGCCTAGAGTTCATCTAAATGCTGAAATCTACAGCCGTGGTGTCATCTACAACCTACTGATTATCACTGAAAGCACTGACTACTTCCAGAACATTTGGTAATGGTCACTATACACATACAGTATGTCTGTATTCAGAGTTCCCTGTCTTCAGTTGTTGGAATTGATGTCTGCCTCATCTTTGTCCTCGCCCATCTCCTTGAAGCTTTCCTTCTTGGCTCCTTCTTTGTCCCTCTGGCTGCTCCTGGACGAGCCGGCTGAGGCTCGAGGGTGGTAGCTGTAGCTGGCAGCACTGAACGACATCCCTGAGTTAAAGTGAGTCTCCTCCCCCTCCAGCAGTTTCCTTATAGGATCAAAGGAAGCAAATGTGAAGCTGCACACATGTAAGAATGAGTCTAGTTGTAAAGAAATAGCCATGATTTGTTTTGATTTTCAGAAATATGTACGTGAACAGCGGTAAAAGGTAAACACACTTTCTTTTTCTAAATGGTATGAGGTTAAACTCAAAATTAAGTCCCCCCCTCCATTTAAAGATGTGGTTTGCTTATTGTTACTTGACTTGCTGAAGGAGGAGGGTTTCTCTGTACTCAACTTAAATCTCAGTTTGGATGTAAAAGCATTTGGAAGCCAATCAGTGGCCAGAATGCAACATACACCGCTGCAGTGGGGAAACTTAAAGCCTCATACATTAGTTTGAAGAAACAGATGTCATTTTTAACCCTGTTATTGAACATTTTTGTGGCAAAACTAAATAGACACAAAGGATTATTCATAGTGGATTTTTTAAACATGGCTGGAGGGGGTCTTTATATAAGTGAATACATTTCAGGAATAACTGGGTGATTTAGTCTTTGACGTAACATGTCGATCTGTGTTTCTTAAATCCAGTCAGCACCTGTAAGCAGCTATCTCTATGTCCAGGGCCATCTTGACATTGAGCAGGTCTTGATACTCTCTCAGGTGCTGGGCCATCTCACTCTTCAGGTTCCTCAGCTCCGTGTCCAGGTGGCCAATCGTGTCCTGTTACAGTGGAAATGAGACAGGATTTAGAGATTATCGGCTGTGTCGAACAATTCACTGCATCCACAGATTGTCTCAGTCTGCTACTCTATAGGTTTTTTTTCTGTTGTAGCTATGAGCTAGTGGTAGCTGCCTGACATTGATTTGGGATATAGTTTCCCGTGACACTTGGAAAGCGTCCCTCTAAAGTTTATTAGGGGATTTCCTTTTGGTTTCAGTCACCTGTGGAGCTCAGCTTTACCTTCTGTAAAAAGCCAGTGAAAGCCAGATGGCCTTCCTGAATCCGATTTAGCAGGTCAGAGGTTAATCTAATTGACATGCGGGGTCACTTTACTAAGAACTGTTTCAGTCAGTCTCACAGTCACAGAGGCTTGTTAGGCTGACAGCTACACACTAAAGGTCATGTCTGGACTTCACTTTGAACCTGAGTTAGACGTTAACTTTTACCCTTAGAGGGAGCCAGAATTTTTTAAACACAGCTTGGTGTTACTGACAGGATTTCTTTATTTAGAATTTCTCCCTAATTAAGCCTCAATACTTTAACTTTTTGCAAATTTGTAAATTTACATTTCTGTCATTTGCTGATGAGAGATAGTTTTTGAAAAAATATCATTATTCACCATTTTTGCTGACGTCTCGATGAGAAATTTGGTACTGCTTAGCTTAGCTTAGCTTAGCTTAGCTTAGCAAAAGAGACTAGGATCAGGGGGAAACACCAAGCATGTTGGGGGTTTTTTTCAAATGCAACAACATGTGACTACCAGCACCTCAAAGCATCACTAGTATGACATGGTTACCAGTGACTGATCAGCCGTAACATTACCACCACCAAGAGAGTGAATAACACTGATCATACCATTAGAATGGCACCTGTGAGAGCCTGGTATATATCAGCCAGTAAGTGAACAGTCTGTTTACTAGCTGATATGTTGGAAGCAGGAATAACAAGCGGTGTGAGGCTCAAACTGTGATGACCAGACAGCTGGGTCAGAGCAGCTTCAAAACAGCAGATCTTCTAGGGTGTTCCCTGGTTGCAGTGAACAGTAAAAAGTGGTCCAAAGAAGGCCAACCAGTGAACAGGCAACAGGGTCGTGGAGGCCCAAGGCTCAAGATTGCAGGAAACTTCAATGCTTCTATAGTAGGAAGTTGTCAGAACACACAGTGTATCTCAGCTTGCTGCGTATGGAGCTGTGCAGCCACAGACAGGTCACAGTGTCCTGCTGGTTCCTCCCCAGAGCTACTCACAATAGACACATGGGTGTCAGAACCAGACCACAGAGCAATGGAAGGGTGGCCTGGTGTTTTTTTTCCAATTTGATCTGTGTGATCATTTATGTGGAGAAAGATGGCAGCAGGATTCACTGTGGGAAGGAGTCAAGCCAGCTGAGGCAATGAGATGCTCTGAGCAACGTTCTGCTGAACCTTGTCTTTAATGTGGATGTAAGTTTTGACACCCCAGCAGTCCCTGATGGCAGTGGCTTCTGTCAGCAGGATAATGCTCCCTACACACCGAAAACACTCTACAGGGACGATTTGAGGAACATGACAAAGAGTTCAAGGTGTTGACTTGGCCTTGAATTCCCCAGATCTAAATTTGATCAAGCATCTGTGGGTTGTGCTGGAAAAACACATCCGATCAATCTGAGGCGCTACCTCGCAGCTTCGAGGACTTGAAGGATCTGCTCCTGTCTTGGTGCCCACAGGACACCTCCAGAGGGCTGTGGCGTCCTGGCTTTGTCCCGGGGATCTACACAATAGTAGGCAGGTGGTTTGAATGTTGTGGCTGATCGGTCACTTGGTGTGGTTTTGGGGTAAACTATGCTTAGGACCAGGCTGGCTGTTTCCCCCTGTCATCATCTCTTGATCTTTGCATCAAATTCCAATAAAGATAATCAACAAATGTATTTCCCTAAATCTCCCACAATTATGAAAATGTTACAGCAGCAGAACATCCTGAAAGGGTCACAGCATCAAATACCTCCAGCAGTGTTTAACTAACAGGCAAATCATCAATCTGACCTGGTTGTATAGTGAGTATCACAGTGTGCTCCATGAGTGATCGATTTCAATTATAAGACTTTCAGTTTGCATTCCTTGCTTCTACTGAGTCCTTGCCATGTAAAAGTTGGGGACACCCTGCCGTGTGCAGTTAGCTAACAGCCTTACTCAAGCTGTGCCATAATTGATGATGAACCTGACCTTGAGATCTGCTCACTTCCAATCCTATTATTCTGCAGAGTTGTAGACAGTAACAACCTCCACGCAACGCCGTGCCAGCCGTGCTGCAGCAGCTCTCTACCCAGCACTGAAGTAGTTCTTTTAACTTCAAGCGCTTAAAGTCTGTTATCTTTTAACCATTTACAGTTCTAGTGCTCGCTCTGAGAGTGGAGTATGTTGGTTTCCTTTTATCTCCAAAGACTGCATCAGAGTAGTACAGTGTTTCTGTCTTTTATGGTTTCAATCACTGCTCAAAAACTAATTAGAATTTCCTATTCTAGTTTAGCTTTTATCTGTAGGCTTATTTACGATGCAGTGATAATTTTCTGCACACGGTTTTGTGCTATATTGCATTTATGCACCTTTTCTGAGGTCTGTTTCTTTTTCTTCTGTTACGACAAAATTACAACCCATTACAGGAAGTGAATAGAGCTGCTCTCTTTCAAAGAAACGGTTCCAGAGAAAACTGCTGCTTATTACCAGTATTGTTGCACTTTTCCTGGAAAGAAAATAAGAAATGCTTTGCCTGAGTGCACCCAAATATAATTCAATTGTCCTTCATTCATTATAACTGAAAAACTGGACATATAAGTGTTTTGACAGCTACCAGTTAATACACTGTCCTTTAGACTTTTTTTTCTAGCAGTCGTCTTGTTACTGGGATATAAAACAGAAAAGCTTTATTTTAGAGGTTCTGTAAATGACTCATAATAAAGACGTTTCCTAGAAAGAGAGTCTGGTAATTACTGTGGGTGAAAAGGGGAACGTCAAAGGCCGTTTTCTAGTTGGAGTTTAGTTAGTGCTGTTGAATTCCACACAAATGAAACTTGTATAGATCAAACTTGCCAAACATATAAGTGAGTGTGTGTAATGTTGTGACTGTAGCCCTGCTGGACACCATGAGATGCAAGGTGTGCTGAAACATCCCTCTGCTCGTTAGGGATTGCTTGCCTGCATGGCTGAGGCTTCAGCGTTGTGTGCATCCTCCATCTCTGTGATCTGTCTCTCCAGAGACTCGTTGGCGCCCCTCAGGGTCTCTATCTCGATGGTCTTGGACTGCAGCTGCCTCCTGAACTCATTGATCTCCTCCCGGCTGGCCCTCATGGCCTCGTTGCTCCTGGTTGCCTGCTCGCTCAGACTTGCGAACTTGCTCTTGTACCACTCTTCGGCCGACTGCAGATTCTTGGAGGCGATGGACTCGTACTGGTTGCGGATCTCCTTAAGAGCTGAGGTGAGGTCCGGCTTGGCGAGCTCGAGTTCCACAGAGACCTGCTGCGCCTCCATCAGGCTGCTCATCTCCTGAATTTCCTCTTCGTGCACTTTCTTCAGGAAGGAGATTTCATCCATCAGCGAGTCCATCCGGCGCTCCAGGTCCAGGCGCACGGCGGCCGCATCATCCACATCCTTCCTGAAAGACCTCAAGGTCTGCTCAGCTTCCTCCCGTGCCCTCACCTCATCGTCATACTTTACACTGAGCTTCTGAAGTGAGACAAGAGAGAGAAAAGTGGTGAGAGAAGCTGAAGTGAGTTAACGGACACGGAAGATTTGAGCAGTTAGATCAAACAGATGATCAGATCATGTGACACTGATTGACAAAGAAAAAAGATGGACCGTGATTAGAAACGTTGTCATTTCTGAGAGGATGTTGGGTTTGTAGCAGTAAAAACAAAGGAGACACATCAAATTGAAATTGCTCCTTTTCAAAACTGTCAAAAATACTCTTACCTGCAGCTCGTCCTCTAAGTTGTTCCTCTCAATCAGGATGCTGTTTTTGTCCCTGTTCAGCTCCTCCAGCTGGGAACGCAGCTCCCTCATCTCCTGCTGGTAGAGATGGGCCACGCGGGACGGCTCGCCCTGCTTCTGCCGCAGAGTCACCAGCTCCGTCTCCAACACTTTGTTCTGCTGCTCCAGCTGTCTGACTTTATCGATGAACACGGCGAAGCGGTCGTTCAGACCCTGTGAAGCAGGAAACACACCGTTAGGACTGTACCAGCCCCAGACTGAAGGTGTTGATTTACTGAACTCTGAACTTGCTGTTGAAGCTTCTGACATCACATAGCAGCCAAACTTAAAATCCCCTTATTCTAACAGTCTAGTTTCAGAACATCGAATCATTAACGAATTATGTAGAAACTTGCTATGTGTTAAAAATGCTGAGCCACTTGGGAACAGCCTACAAACAGAACACAGACAAACTGCCACCTTAAATAGATTTGGGTAACACGATTACATATACATATTGGCACATCCAGCATGTTTCTGGTCACCTGGCATGACTACATCCAGGATCTCCTTTAAACTCTGTGTCTCCACCAACTCCTGAGAGAACGATGTGACTCTTCAGCCACTAAATCCTTCATTATCTTCTAAAGCAAGCTGAACACTTTGTCTGTCTGGTGTCTGGTGCAGGACAGTGAGTTCATGACTACAGGCGACCCCCGTCACATCACAAGTAGTCTTTGGATTGTATAAAAATACTTATTAGTGTAGCTTTAATTATAGTGGATGCAGCTTTAAAAATGCAGCTGACCTACAGAAACACATCCCATCTCTCCTAAATGCTCTTTTCGCTGTGATGGATATCGACAACGTTCTTTTAATTCTCCTTTTTTCCTCAACAGCAGGAAAAAAGTCTTTTTTTGGTGTAAAAGTTGCAACAGCAGCGTGTAGAAACACTCCATTAAAAGATAATTCTGTCATTTCTAATGGTACTAAAAATTACTTAAAGTATCCAAAGTACAAGTGTCTCTAAAGCGAAATGAGCATTTTCAAAGTGGTATGTTATTATCATGGATGGATTATAATAAAGCGGCTCTGAGGACACAGATGTAAAAGGCCCTCACGATACAAACTGTACATAAGAACTGAAGACAACAAGGCTGAATTAACTGTAGCTGTTCTTTTTTATGTCAAGTTACATGTGTTGGTGGATTTTTTTGTGTCTTCCTGGTGACTTTGCACATCTCTTGGTCGTTTGGCATCATTAGGAGCCTCTCTTCTGTCAGTCTGCAGCTCTCTGCGCTCAGTTAGCACCAGTTTGGAGTCACTTTGATATAGTTTTGTGTTTTTTTGCTGCTGTTTTGTCTCTTTTTAGTCATTTGATTGACAAGAAAAGTCAACAGTTACTGCTGAGATCCCATCTTGGATAGGGGGGTATCTGATACTGGATCATTTTCTTGTCATATTTATGTAAGCATAACTTTTCCAAAAACAATTTCTAATGTGCACAGTAGTCTGTATCTGTCTCGTCTGGTCCTAGTTTTGATCACACCTACCTGCAGCTGCTCCTTCTCGTTAGTTCTGATGACCTTTAATTCATTATTGACCACAGAGGTCTGGGTCAAGTCCAGGGAGCCGGTCGGTACCGGAGAGAAGGAGAGGGACGAGCGGCCGACCCTCCTGTACAGGCTCATGGAGGACGCGCTGTTGCGGGGAGCCGCCATGGACCTGAGCACCGGAGAGCCCCGAGGAGAGGAGCTGCTCATGCGGGAGGAGGAGACGGGGAACCTGGGGGAGTCCCCGAAAAGCTTTCGGTAGGACGACGAGGTGTAGCGGTCTCCGTAGCTCATCTTTGCTGTGACTCAGAGGTAAAACTGGGAGACTTAAAGAGCTTTGCAGGAGCTTATAGGACGCGGTTTGCAGGTGGAGCGAACCATTTTACGCACGGTGGCACAACACTTGTGCAGAGGCGCCTCCAAGGGGGAGCTGGGGGCCACAGCCACCCCGGAACTCTCACATTTCATTGTACAAGTTTCTAGTTCATGCAACTAAAGTGTAGCATCAGCAGTCACTACACATCACAGATAGTGCAAAAGACACAGTTAGTGAGTTGAGCTGGTGGAGACACCGACAACCTGGAAGTGTGAACAAGAGCTGGACAGGTTCTGGCCAGACCTAGGATAAAAAAAAGCCCTATCTGGGAAATAGTTGTAAGGGTTCAAATTCTACAGAAACATAACTCCCAGGGCTAATGATGTCAGTGAGGACACAGACAAACCAGTTTGCAGCAGATCCATATGGATGATTGGCTCTAAAACATCAATTTGAGATACTAGTGTGGCCCAAGAGCTCCTCCTGTCTGTCACTCTGGACTTAGAAACGTAATCTTTCCCTCTTAAAACATGACTGTGAGTGTGCAGTCCTGTATTGATCCTGTTCTGTCTGTACTGCTGAAGCCCATCTAATGACCAAGCATTTAAGTTTGGGTTAACATGAAAGAATCTAGAATATATTTTTAAATATATATGCAGCACAATGTGCCTGGCATGCTTCACCTGATCTAGAAGAGCCATGTGGAAGTGGATTCATGGGCTGACAATCTCACTGTAATCCTGGTTGTGTGTTTACATGTTGAAATTCATTTGTTTTTCTTTCTTTGTTTCATTTCCACAGAGCAAGTCTGTGACCACAAACTGCACTTAGAGGAGGACCAACAGTAAGAATAAAGAGGCAGTAGCTCATTAAAAAGTGTTCATGCTGTAAACTAAAAGATTCAATAACCTCATTTGGTAACTACAGTGAACAGGTTTAAATGTAGTCGACATTTGAACTGTATAAGTTCTACAATGGTTCCACAATGAAGGAAAACTGCTCAAGAAGACTGTGACAGTGAAAGTGTGCCGCATGAGAACTTCAGGTTGCTGACAGAGACGCTTGAGGTGTGTGTGTGTGTGTGTGTGTGTGTGTGTGTGTGTGTGTGTGTGTGTGTGTGTGTGTGGTAAAATGGGTGTGAGCATGGGGGATGAAGGTGATAAAAAGGGGCGAGTCAGAGGGAGCTCCTTCCTCCTCCACCTTCATGTCACCGTCTTCCTTCACAGCCAGCAGTCCTTCTTCTTCTTCTTCTTCTTCTTCTGGAGTTTTGCTTTTCTTCTCCTTCAACTCTTCGCTCTCCCCTGCAGTTTTTTCTTTTCTTCCTCCAGGTCTTTATTCATCTTCCTGATGTCTTCTTCTTCTGTTTCCATTTCTCTTCTCCATTTTCTTATTCTATTCCTCTATTTCTTTTTTCTCCTTTAGGTTTTTCTTGTCCTCCTGGAGTTCTTCTTTCTCCTGCTGCAGTTCTTTATTATTTGCTTCCAGCTGTTAATTATAATTCTCCACTTCTTTCTTCTAACTTTTTATTATTGGATTTTAATTACGAAACAAATTAACTGAAAGATGCACAGAGTGAGGGAAATTAAATTTTATCCTGAAATCCCAGTCGCTCCATCATCAGATACAAGAATGTACAATTGATTCCTGATCAGGTGATCAGCTCAGCACAGAAATGAATAAATGTCCTAAATTGTTTCTCTTTTCTGCCACTTGATGGAGCTGTAATGCTGCAGAACAACAAAAGATGCATTCAAACTAGTTATTCAGACTAAATGCATTAGTTTTTAGCTTGAAATACTTTGAACCAACTTCTGGTACAGAAACGTGATAACAGTGATGAGAATCTAAACCTTGTGAGAAAGAACACAAAACCCACTTCATTCATTCTGTCCATCACACAGTCTCTCCCATCTGTTCCTCAACTTGTGTTCCTTCTGTGTCAGAGAGTTTTCAGAGCTCCTTGCAGACCCTCAACACACTGTGTGGAGTGATGACCACCACACTCAAAAACACGATATACAACTAATTGTTATCGGTGAATGATTGCATGTGAAAACATTGCTTCTCAGACATAGATGTTTAAACACAGACTGAGCACTGACCCTCCCACCTCCTCTCTGTTACGCCTGAGGGAAAATCTCTCCATTCAGTATCTAAAGTTCTAGTAATGTTTTCAGTAGGAATGTTTATTTTTATTATTTTTTAGTTCCCTAAATGTTCTTCTGGAAGGTTGACTGACATTCTCTAAAGACACTCTGTAAATGTTTGGTCATAACATCGTTCCATAATTCCTTCTTGTCACTCATGAAACATTACCCAAATGTTGCAGTGAGAACGTCCTTTCTTTGTGACCATGTAGCATTGTGTAATATTGTGGGAATGTTTCACAGAAGAACATGTTATAATGTGTTATATCAACAATATTTACAAAACATCCTCAGAACATTACAGGCAAAATGTTCTACTTTTGTTAATATGTTGAATTACTAGAGCTTCCAACTGCGCCACCTTGCAGCCCCATATCAAACATGTTGATACTCAAACTTAGGAAAAACTAGAAAAAGCAAAACAGCAGTCGAATCCCAAAGTCATCTAAAAATTCTTGGATCAGACAGTTTTAATGATAAAAATATGATAGATTGTATGACAACACGAAAATTACCAAGAAAATTAGAACAATTTCCTTTTACGGTCTGTTTGTGGGATTAAGGCGACTTTAAATTTAACCTTCAGCAATACATTGTTAAATTGGCGAAATTACAAATAGGCTATGCTCTCTAACCTCCAGCCTAAAGGGGCTGAATTTTCTGCCCCAGTGAACAAATCATAATTGTCTCCTGTTATTTTTATATATATTCTGCTGTCTGCTCTTTGTTCCCTAAAACAATAAGAAAAAAAAGGGAAATGTGAGAAAGTTTTGCTGCATACCACCAAAAAAATAAAATAACATAAAAAAATATAACAAATTTAGTAGTGAAACACTAAAAGTTAATTTTAGCCGTTAAAATCAGTTGAAATCGGTCTCAGCGGTTGTACTGGACTGAACCTAGACGGAAGCGTTCATAGCTTGATTCAATTTATTAACACTGACACTAATAAGAACCTAAAATATTATAAAGTCGCCACAATCTTGGTAGAATGACGCTGCAAGTGAAATTATATTTTTAAGTGAATTACAAGTTTAGGAAGCAGTAATTTTACGCACAAACTCAGCAAGTAATTCAGTGTTAAATATTCTCAGATTCCCGGACAGGTTTCATGTCATCTCTCCATCAGCTCGACTCTCATGACTCTGAGAACGTCTCAGTCTTGAAGGACGTCACTGCAGCACAGACAGACGACACCGAGGAGCAGGTGTTGAGTCCGGTCAGGTTAGAGCTCCTACATGGAAGCTTCACTTCACTTCACTTCACATTCATGACAAGAACTTCCCCCAAATCTGGTGTCATTTTCTTCAGATGCAGATGAAGTGAAGCTGACAATGACCTGATGGAAAGAGAAAGTAGAAATACTGAAGCAGCACAGGACAGGCTGCAGGGACGTGAGTATATTTACCTTCAACTTCAAAGACAGATTGTAGTAACTAGATTTATACACTGTGTGCAGTTCAAGTAACAGAATTGAGGAAAACACCTTTATTTGTTTGTTTTATTGATATTAACAGGATGCTGCTGAATCGGGGGAGATGTCTCTGGAGATCCTGGACACGAGCAGGAGCTACTCGTTCGTGGCCATGCAGGAGTTCTGTTGTTTCTCCGGTTGTTTCTTTTGTCTTTGTCGTTGTTTGTTGTCTCTTTACAGCCTCTTTGCATCTTTTTCAGTTGTTTTCTGTCACTGTGTGTCTTCGAGGCCCTTTCTTTGTGGTTGGTTTGCAAACCTCTGCAGTTAATTTGATTGACTTTCCATTAAAATATGTCACCAGCAGACACTTCAAACTCTGGTCCAGGTCCCCTTGAATCCAAGGCCTGTGCACAGGTAGTCTGTTCAATAATCTCTTCATTGCTTTGCCTGTGTTGGGAACCACAACAACCCCAGTCCAGGAAGGGATCTTCCAGGAAAGGAGCTTGTATGAGGTGCAAATGTTTGTCACCAGCACCTGAAGTGTGGGAGGACAGGTTGTAGCTGCTACAGACTGCAGGTGGAGCACACGGTTGCATCCAATTAGTCAATGTAAAATGTTTCATAGCATGTTAAACTTTGCAACCTTGTGTTGTTAAGCTGTTAACAATGCCAGCTCCTGCATGTTAGGTCTGCAACTTTGGCCTCACAACTACACAAGTAAATCTTGTCAAACAGATTGTACCATCTGACAGAATCTGCAAAGTTATGCTGGGTGTAATGTGACAGGGGCTGCAGGCGGAGGCTTCTGCTCCAGCTGTTTGCCAGGATCTGACAGTAGATTTTGCTGAAGGATGATTCAGGTTTTTCAGCTTGCGGGTTGTCTGCCAAAGTCTTCAGATGTAGGTGGCTGCTGCAGGTTGCTGGTTAAGACTGTAGGCAGGAGTCAGAGGACAATGTGTAGGTGGAGGTTTGGGCTGCAGCTGTTTTCTACAATCTGCAGGTGGAGGCAACAGCTACAGGTTATTGACAGATGATTCTGGTAATGTGCAGTTGCATAGAGAACAGGAAAAATACGACATGAACAGATGTCCTAGCAGCTTAATCTGGCAATGGCCACTTAGACCCAAACACTCCTTCACCATTTTCCTGATGGAAGGTGTAGCAGTCCTTCTTCTTTAACCAGTGTTGGCTGCTGTGAGTCCCCTATAACGAAAAAATGCATCCTACACGGGAGATGAGTTTTATCAGCCGCCCCATCACAGCCTCACACTTTATGTGGCTGAATAGGTTTACCAGTTCATAGCAGTATTCCTCAGTAGCTCACAACTTTTCTGTTGTCTCACCAGATCTTCATCAGTAAACAGACTGGGGTGTTATGCAGGAAACTAAATAAGTTAAATCCTGTGGCAAAAGAAGAACCTTTTGTAGTATTTTCAGAGCTCAAACACCTCCACCCTCCTGCAACCACCCACACAAACACAGTCCACGTACACTGATGCTTTCTGTCGGATCAATGCGTTCATTGATTTCTTGTGTGAATTAATGTGTTAATTATTTATATCCCTCAGAGGCAGTTGTACCTGAAGAGGCTGTGTAGGAATTAGTGTTGCAGCTCACTCTGATTGCCACTAGAGGTCAATGCAAATCAGGGGTTATCTAATCTTCCTCCTGTGTATCGCTGTTGATCGGTCCAAAGCAAACACTGCCCGTTTCGTTGGGGTGGTGGCGGTGGAGCTGTGAGATGGGAAATGAAGCAGGTGCAGGGTTGGAAGAAAACAGGAGGGAGGCAGTTGGGGCAAATCGTTGATTCTCCAGGTCAAACTGCTTAGGTAGATTTAAGCAGGCAGAGGGCAGCAGACATTTAGAAAGCATTCTGTGTGTGTGTGTGAGTGTGTGTGTGTGTGTGTGAGTGTGTGCGTGTGTGTGTGTGTGTGTGTGTGTCTACAGTTCATTCAGACAAACATGCAGCTGACTGACAAGATGAACTGAGCAAAAAATAGTCCTGCTGTATATGAAGCTGTGTTCTCTGCAGTGAGTCCATAATAACCACATGTTACATCACAGCATTTACTTTTCCTGTGCGACACTGTAGTATGTAAACTGTGAATTCATTTAAAGCAGAATAAAGTGTGGAGCCAGAAACTTGGTGGTGTCGTGCTGACATCAGGTGACTAGGTTTTCTTTAAGTCACTGACCAGCTCAGTCACAGCAGCACCAAGAGCTTCTCTCTGTTTTTTCTTTTGATGTTCTGTCTACTTTCCTCAGACATTTTGTTTACCATGGTTCATCATTTTGTCCAAAAGTTGCTAAAGACGGAAGCTCAAGCGGAGAGTTAGCAGGCTTGCTAAGGACTAATTCCGGCTTTCCCAGTCCGTGTGCGTAGACCAATGTGAACACGTGTCTCTGTTCATACTGCAGTAGGTCAGCACCAGCCTGCTGCAGACGTATTCCCCCCATATCGAAGGCAGAAAAACACACGGGGCAATTTTTACAGGATATAGCTGATACTAACAGATTTGTAGCACTGTGTTAGTGAATATTCCTGAGGTACAAATCAAAGCAAAGTCCTGCAGCACTACTTCAATTACAACTCTGTTAATGATCAAGGTACTGATGACCAAGAATCTCCTTGTACAGTCCATTCATCCATTATCTATACACCGCTTAATCCTCTGTAGGGGAGGCCGGAGTCTATCCCAGCTGACTCAGGGTGAAGGCAGGGTTCATCCTGGACAGGTCACCAGTCTATCACAGGGCTACACTTAGAGTTAGACAACCAAGCACACTCACACTCACACCTACGGACAATTTAGAATCACCAGTTAAACTCAACATGTCTTTGGACTGTAGGAAGAAGGCGGGGGAACCCGGGGAGAACCCACACAAACAAAGGGAAAACATGTAAGCTCCACATAGAAAGATCCCAGGCCGAGATTCAAACCCAAGCCCTTCTAGCTGTGAGGCGACAGTGCTATCCACAGAGCCACGTGCCACCCCTCCTGCACAGTCTCTCTTGTAACAAATATTTGTTGTCAGCATTTTTTTTTTCCTTGCCACACTGTGGACAATCCACATGGTCACAGATTTTGGGCTGCACACGTCCACAGAGAGGGTCTGAGCTGACCCTACCCAGTTCAGGTGGTTTATGAAATTTCATGTCACAAGTATCCTTCCACACATGGAAGGCATGAACAGTCCGTTAGCTTAGCATGGGTAAAGACATGTTTGTGCCATGCATACCCTGTATATAGAAATATGGACGTAGTCTGTCAAAAAAGTTGAACTCTACATGAAGCATTCATACAAAATATCTTTGCCACTTGTGAATCCTTAGATCTCAGTAATTCTAATAAAATGGGTTGAAACAGAATTTATATCCTGGTGTGACCAGCCTTTGTTATTATTATTATTAACCCTTAACATCAGCAGCAATTTGAACCTGCACATGTAAACAGGTTGGTCTCGCCACCCACATAAGATAAAAAGCAATGGCTACTGTAGGTAGTGTAGTAGTACTGTAGGCCAATAACAGTCCTGCATCAGTTTCTGTTGGTTTCATTTACAGACTGTGTGTAAAGATTCATGAGTCCGCCGTGTAGTCTCCTATAGGTGTCTTGAACAGTAGCTTTGGAGCTCAGTCTGGTGGCTCCTGCTCTCACCATCTGAGCAGTGCCTGACTTCTCCTAAGTCCCAGCTAATCCACAAATCCACAAGAGGTGAAGTGTGAGTGGAGCTGAGGCAATCCATGAAAAGTTCTCTGTGCTAGGAACTGTCATATGATGGCCCCCACGTGTTACTCAAAGTGGCCACACCTCCAAATTAGCAGAACTTTAAGTCTTCATACAATTTAAATGGATGAGTTGTATAAAAATCCCCCCAATGTACTGTTGTCATCCATGGGTGAACTAGCTGTAGAAAACTGTAAACATGATGTTCCTGCTGGAAAGTTGGACACTTTATAATGGAGGTCTATGGAGACTGACTCACTTTTGGGGCCAGTCTCACTTAGCCACTCAAACAACTGCAGCAACTGCAAATTGCAACTTGGTTTGTTTGCAACAGAGTTCTTAAGTTTTGACATAAATTATACCACCTTTTATCTAAGGAATGTAATTAACGATGGAATAGTGTCTTACGTGATTTCCTTCTTCATGAAATTGTTGTATAGCACATGTGTTATGGCTGTTCTGAAACCTATCTTGGTTACACCCCTAGTTGTTAGTTGTCTTCTCTCTGCCTCTGCTGGCTCATTTTATTGTTTCCTCGCATGTTAAAACCACCATGTGTTCAAGAAAGGACAAGCATGAAATTTGGCATGAATGCATAAGACACTGTCCACCTACTCATGTCCAAAAAATAAGAACAAACAGAGCATTAAATCACTGCTCTGTAGCAAGACTCCTGTTCAGAAATCTTTACAGGCCATATTGAAAGACTCCCTCTGATATTTTTTTATCTAATTTTTTAAAAACCTTTTTACATGTCCTTATGATGTTTTATATTTTGAAAGATATTGAGAAGAACTGCTGTGTACCGATGACTGTCAGGGTTTAAAGAACTAATCTTGTCAACTTGTAGATTGGGAATTTCTGCATCATTTTTCTTCTTCAGAATCTTTTTTCCTGTTTAAACTTCCATCCATCCATTATCTGTACACCACTAATTCCTCTGTAGGGTCACGGGGGGCTGGAAGTCTATCCCAGCTGACTCAGGGTGAAGCCAGGAGACACCCTGGACAGGTCACCAGTCTATCACAGGGCTACACTTAGAGACAGACAACCAAGCACACTGACATTCACACCTACGGACAATTTAGAATCACCAATTAACCTCAATTCTTAATTCAATTTCTTACTGTAATGTGAGTGTGCTTGGTTGTCTGTCTCTAAGTGTAGCCCTGTGATAGACTGGTGACCTGTCCAGGGTGTCCCCTGTCTTCATCCTAAATCAGCTGGGGTAGACTCCAGCCCCCCGTGACCCTAGTGAGGATTAAGTGGTGTATAGATAATGGATGGATGGAATTTCTGACTGTCAGCTGTTGTAAAAGAGCAAATTATCATATGATTTTTTTTTTATCTTTATGGTTGTTGGTGATGTTTGGGCTTTTTTTTTCAGAGTTAACATGTAAATGAATACATTTTTCAATGATTTGACTATTTATTATGTGTAATTTAACAAAACATGGAAGATTTGTAACCACATTAAAAAAGCAAATTATTTAGAAAATTACAGTTAAAAACTCTTAATACATTCATGTTTAAAAGAGTCTAAAGGGGTCAAGAAGCATTTTCTGTGCATGAAGTGAACACTGTGTATCTTTGTCCGGTCAGTGGTCTCAACTGTTATATTCAGTTGGGTTTTTCTTTTGTTGTTGTGGTCATTGACTCTGTGATCCGGTTCATCTTCGATGTCCGTTCATCTGTTTGTCACATGTGAGTAACGTGTCCGGCCCTCTGCCTTTCATGGTCACCGGGACCGATTTCCGTCCGTGGACCGGGGGGCTGGCGTCCCTTTAACTCGCACCCAGAGGAGCTGTGGACGGCTGCGTGACTGTCGGCCACTGTGCACACTTCCGCACCAGCGCCATTGGCCGCCACCGCGGTGTGGGCGGGACACGAGGCCGTGACTCAGCCGTGAGTCACCGCACGACACGTCTGTCACACGCTGCCTGCTGACGCGTTCAAGGACTGTGGGAATACAGACAGGCTTACCACGCCAGTCAAATTTATACCTGTACGGGGAGGGAGATAAGTCCCAAACTGACCCAGGTCTGTCCGGCTGCTTGACATTTATAAGGAATATTAGCAGGCTGTGTATGTACCTATACTACAGGTTATACATATAGCACATTAAATAGATTTTATAGGTCGCCGAGGTGTCAAAATAAATCAATTTCTTCCACTAAAAGTTTAACTAACCTTCCATTGCTTGAAGCTATCGAGCTAGGCTAACATTACAATAAGTGTAAACTGACATTAGCCTGTTTGAATGCTAGCTGCGCCACCAGAAAGCGACGATAAACTGTGATTCATAATTAAAATGCAAAGTGAGCCGAGTTTTATGAGCTGCTGACAGCCCACGCGCGCAGCAGCAGGCTTGTGTTTACTATTCGTCTGCTGACACTTAAACGCAGCAGCAGCAGCCTGATCTTACATGACTTCGCATTGGCCGCGATCTGTGACATTGGAGCCGTGGGACCGAGTGGGAACGAGCCGCATCAGTTTATAGGTAAAATACCAACCAGACATCCCGGCAAGCAGCGGACTGAGCTCTCTTCCCTTTCACCGCAGCCCGAGAGCCATTTTCTTTCACATCTATTTTTCTACTTTAGCTCCGTGCTGGACGGATCTGCCACACAGGGTGAGTGTCTCAAACTGCGTCTTGAACTCCGGGACTGTGACTCGGTGTCCGCTGGTTGTGACTGGAAGTTGTGTGTGTGTCTCTGTACTTCTTCGTCTGTACGCGAAATGTTGTGCGTCCTCGTGTTGCCTCCAGAAAGTATCTGTGGCTGTGGTAAACATGACATGTATACGTGTCCGATGAATGGGACAGCAGCAGCCGTGCCTGTGTGCGTCCGTCACGGCTCTCAGAAGTGGAAACACGCAGCGTGGAATTCCCGTTACGCACGGATTGCGCGCAGACAGTGTACCGCCAAAGTGCATTTGGAAAACAGCATTTTTTTTTTTTTGGAGGCTGCACATCGTTTAAAGCTGATGTAGAAAAACTATACAGACTTACTTTGCATATTAACAAGTCTGTCAAGCGACACATGACCTGCTGTGGGATCAGTTTATGGACATTCTTCTGTGCTACAAGAGATTTAATAAAATAAAATAAAAAAAACACAGGTTGACCCAATCTTAAAAGTTCAAATGTTGTGAAAATATGGCACTTTACTTTTATGTTGGGTCTTGACCATTACGCAACTTGGTTGATTTTTCAGGGAGTCCAGTTTACACAGGCTTTAATAGCACGGAGACCTTGTGAACCTTTTGGATGAACTGACTGTAGTGTTCTGAGTCTGAGGACATCAGTGCACATTTGTTGTGCTGCTGCTGCTGCTGCTGCTGCTGCTGCTGCCTGCATTATATAACCAGGTTGTCTCTAAGCTCACACACACCAGCACTGACTGACAGACACATCCTGATGTGCTGCTGCTTCCCTGCCTGGGCCTGACATTACTAGTGTGGTAGTGTGTGTGTGTGTGTGTGTGTGTGTGTGTGTGTGTGTGTGTGTGTGTGTGCATGGAAGCTATCATTGGAAGAACCAGTTTGAGTTTTAGACCAGGGTAGTGAGGACATTTCTTGCAACCCAAGCAGAGACTGTTGGTGCGTTACGACTTGTATTGGTTCGAATGCAAAGGTTTAAACTGGGTTCGACACTTGGTTGGTTTTCAGGGTGAGAGGCTGGAGAAAGCATTATGTCAGTGAATGTCATCACAAAGATAACCCTACAACCGGTGAGTGTATGTAGTATCATCGATTCATAGAGAGACCAGTATGTTTAGGATTGTGTTCTTTTGAAACATGAAAACTGATTTTAATACTGTAATCATATGTGTGTTCTAATTCTAATTGCTGCAAATGTAAATCTTAGACACTTGTAGTTGCACATGGGTCCAAACTGCTTCTACAGGAGTTCAAATGTGCTGCCATAATGTATTTTTTTTGGAGGGGGGGATCAGTTCAGGAGTCCTCTGACATGTTTGCGCTCACATTCTTCTTCTTCAAGTTAAAGCAAAGATTAGAGAAAGCCCAAAGAAATTTTTTCGTTTCATTTTTTGATCATGTTAAAACCCCTCGATTGATCTGGGGACTCTGAGTTAGAAACAGCCGAACATAACTCCAGAACTCTATATAAAACAGTTGGAACCAGCTACGCTCACTAGATGTACACCAGTATAATGCAGCACATGTGTCAGTGCGTTGGTGTTAACAGTTTAATACTGTCATTGACATTAATGTATCAGTAGCACACAGTCGCCATGTTTCTGCAAAGTAGCTGCTTTTACTTTAGATTCTTTATGTGCAGTTATCTCTCTAATCTCAAAAGCATTCTGAATGCAGGACTTTGATTTGTACATTCTGATATTGAGCCATCACTGCTCTCATGATGCTTGACAGCAGTCCTATATGTTCCCTTTTCTCAGTAGTATTTACTGCAGAGTAGCACTACAGGATTTTCTTTAGTCGCTTTAATTACGTACTTCCATCCATCTCATATTTGTATTAACTTGACTGCACCTTGTGGCTGCTACAGCGGTCAGTGTGATTGGTCCTGAATGAACACGCTGCCGTCAAATGGCCATGGGGGCTGGCGGAACTTTGTCATTGGGATTATACAAGCAACCAGGCTTCTAATTTAGCAGCTAATCCAGATTAAGGTGCCGTAGTTCGTCTGTGTTCCCAGCCTCGGCCTCAGACGCTGCAGGCTGTCTGACGGACAAAATCAGCAGCCATACCATCCATGTTGATGTGTTCCAGACCCTCCTACTCGCTACTTTAAAAGTAGAATCTCTAAATCCAGTGCAAACGGTACCTGTCTTGAGAGGTTTTACTTCCTAAATGATCAAAATCTGGATTCACTTTGGCCTAAAATGGACAAATTGTTATACGGCCACACTGAACTGAAACTCATGGTTTGTGATCCACAGGACAAAGAAGCTGGAGCTCGAAGTGAAACGTGGTTGAGTTTGATCTTTGCTGACTAAATGAACTGAGTTTAATATTCCAGGGATCAAATAACCCACTCGATAAACGAGGTGCATCTGCAGGTTGAAGTCTTAATGAAACACCTTAATACGAACTTGGCTGTCAAAATTTCTCGCCATGTGTCTGCACAGAATGTCCTTGAATAGGACTCCAAACTCAGTCTCACTCTCTGATTTAAATCATATCCACAAATGCAAAATAATGTCATCCACTGCAGTGAAAATGATATTTATGTGTCACATAGGGGTGTATTTAAAGTTTACAAACTTCAGAATAGCCATCTGTGTAAGATAGAGGACAGGTGCTGTATTTCTTTCTGAGTCTGAAACCACTAACTGCTGGTTAGTGGTTCTGTTTTTTTCTGACCTTCTCCTTTTAATGCATTTGGCATTCAGTATGGAGAATCTGACAGAGACTGAGAGAGAGAGAGAGGAAGGGAGAGAGGGAGAGAGAGGGAGGGAGAGCTCTGTGAACTATAAATAGACAGTGGGAGAGTGGTTGTGATGATAGCATCACCACACAATAATCCCTCAGTCAAACTGGCGTTACTCCACTGCACTACGCTCCCTCCTATACAGTAAGCGGGGTTATCTGGTGAACCTGAGCCTCCGACCCTCTGCTCAGCGTCTCAAGCGTGTAGATGCTGTATTAAGCTCGTTAATTTGAACCTTTTGGGGAAGGGAACATGCTTCGCTCTGGCCTCAACGGTCTAAGTTCAGAATAATCCTTTTAAATTTGTAGAGTGGACGGAGCTCGCTGGTCAGTTAGACGGCGGTGGGAGGTGCGGATCGCGTTCCTGCAGTGTCGTGGGCTTTAAACTGCCATATGTTGAATGTCATGCTGGACTCTCCCATCAGCTACCGCTCACCAGCAATTATTGACTCTCATCAATTTCAAAAACACTGCTCTTGACTTGGACAAACGGGCTGTGAGCTTGAACTGCAAAATTCTAAATGAAAAGGGATCCGTTGAGGTGCTCCTGCAAAGCTCGTTGTTGCAACGTTACTACAGAACTGACAGTTTGCTAATCCTGGTCCGCCTCATTGTTGCTATAGAGCTGCAAAGAGGTGGGTGCTATTTTGGGCGCCACTGGTTCTGGAAGTAAGTCCCATTCATTTTTCCTCTTGAAAATGTTGGCTGAGTCACAGCTGGATCACTGTCAGCTTGGAGAGCCATGAAACTCTCCTGTTTCAACCACTGATGGATCATTAACTGGGTTGTTTTATCAAGTACATCAGAATACTGTTCAAGTAAATGTATCTTAGAAATTACAAGTTGCAGGAAATGTCTCATGAGTTGGTTTCACTTCAAATGATTTATTTGTTTAAAATAGTAATTCAGAGTAGTTTACACTGAGTCAATAGTGCGTCTAAATTAAGACAACAAGTTGTTTATGCAGGGCTTTTTAAGTAACTGAAACTCAAGTGTAAGTGTAGCGTACTTAACAAGCATTTGTTAGTAAAACACACAGTTCCTGTTCCACTTTACATTTTTTAAGGCAATGCATTTGTTATTAAAGTAAGGATGGTTACCAAGTTAGATTTCACAGTGTGGTTCTTTGATTCGTAAGCTGGTGTACATAAAATCTGCAGGTAAGAAATGAACGAGAACTCCCAATTTGGAATTTGGTAAAAATAAAACAAATAAAACTAAAAACCACCATCAAATTGTCAGGCTGAAAATTCTGTTTCATTAGCTGCCGACTGTGTTGTTATCCAGGGTTTAAGTCAGTTCACTTTTGAATTCTTTATGAATAGTATAAATTCTGCAGCTATAGCGCAACAGCAGCTTCGTAGCGCTGGTGCAAGAAAACAGGGATATTGTAGTAGTCTTTTCACCTGCTAACCCAAAAAGACAGACAAAATATTCAGCTGACACTTGCTTAATGACTATATTTCTGGTTGTTTTTTTATTGTTCCATTTTAAACGTGAATCTTGTGCAGTACACATGTGTAATGCCAACATCCATCCATCCATCCATCCATCCATCCATCCATCCATTATCTATCCATCCATCCATCCATCCATCCATCCATTATCTATCTATCCATCCATCCATTATCTATCCATCCATCCATCCATCCATCCATTATCCATCCATCCATCCATCCATCCATCCATTATCTATACACTGCTTAATCCTCACTAGTGTCGTGGGGGGCTGGAGTCTATCCCAGCTGACTTAGGCAGGGGACACCCTGGACAGGTCACCAGTCTATCACAGGGCTACACTTAGAGACAGACAACCAAGCACACTCACATTCACACCTACGGACAATTTAGAATCACCAATTAACCTCAACATGTTTTTGGACCTTGTGGGAGGAAGCCAGAGAACCCAGAGAGAACCTTTTGTTGCACGGGGAGAACATGCAAACTCCACGCAGAAAGATCTCGCGAACCAGCGACCTTCTTGCTGCGAGGCAACAGTGCTAACCACAGCTCCACCTTGCAGCCCGCCAACATACATATTATGAGAAATAAATATAAGGCTAAAGGTAACAGGTCCTAAATGTCAGGATCCTCGACAGCACACGATCCACGTAAAAGACATGATGCTGGACATAGTACTGCAATTAACAGCCAAGACACTTTTAATTTCTCCTTAGTTTATTGTCGTATCTTTAAACTACATTTCATTTGAGTGTT